GAGCATCTGTCCAAGGACTGAAGGGTCTCAGGGGATGCCTCGTCAGGGGCACATACCTGGCTTGCAGGTTTGATCCCCACCCTGGTTGGTGTCGTGCTGGAGTCAACCAAGCAATGTGTCTCTCTCACATGATGTTTCTCTCTCTCTTTCTCCGTCCCTCTCTTCTACTCTACAAAATTAATGCAAAAATATCCTCGCCTGAGGATTAACAACAACAAAAACTCACAGTGAGATGGCACCATATATCCATCAAAATGTCGAAAACTGTTGAGAACATAGAGCAACTGGAATCCTCAGATATTACTGCTACAACCACTTCAGAAAGCTGGCCCCATCTACTGAAGCTGAACATATCCTTACTGTCTAGTGATTTCACATCTAGGAATTTGCCCAACAGAAATGTGTCCATATGTCCGCTATGAGACATGTTTGAGAATGTTCATAGCAACATTTTCTAATATTTGTAGTAACCGAAAACATGTGCTAACCCAAATGTCTACCAACAGTAAAATGTAGTATAGACATACAATGGAATATTACACATATGAGAACGAATGACCTACACACAGCAACATGAATGAATCTTACAAATAAAATTTTGAACAAAGAAGACAAGAGAGTGCATGTTGTATTATTCCATTTGTATACAGTTCAAAAACAAGTAAATATGCAATTATATGTCACGATAGTGGTTATCCTTTGGAGGGGTAAGAGACTGAAAAAGGACAGGGGCTGCAGGGTTCTAGGGATGTTCTTTTTCTTGGTCTGGGTGCTTTTTGAATAGATATGTTCAATTCGTAAAAATTTGAGAACATGTACATTTCTTTTGTCCCTTCTCTATGCATGATATATTTTATGTGTGGTACGTGCCCCAAGCGGAAACCGAACCTGGGACTCTCTGGTCCGCAGGCCAATGCTCAACCGTTGAGCGAAACTTGCCCGGGTTATGCATGATATATTTTAATAAAATTAACTTTAAAAAATAAGTAGATTGCCTGGCCGGTTTGGCTCAGCAGTTAGAGCGTCGGCCCGTGGTCCAGAGAGACCCGGGTTCGGTTCCCGCTAAGGGCACGTACCTCGGTTGCAGTTTGTCTCCGGCCCTGGTTGGGTCGTGTGGGTGGTGGCCACTCAATGTGTCCCTTTCATGTCGATGTATCTCTTTCTCTCTCCTCCTCTCTCTTCCTCCCACTTCTTTCCAAAAAAAAAGAGGAAAAATGTCCTGGGGTGAAAATTAAAAAAAGTAGATGAAAATTTTAAAGACAAAGGTGTTTTGTGTGCCAGCCTGAGTTAACTTAGTGATTTCAATGTGAGAATCTCAAGGAAAGAGCCCTCACGTAAAATACTTGTTTTCTCAAAGAGAAATAACCAGCATCCAATGTAGTGGCATGACAGGTGTCTTCAGGAGCTATCACCAGGCCAAAACGCACAGGACAGATCAAGGGATGAAAACCTCTGAGGATTTCTGTCATCTGACTTAGGGAGGACACTACACCCATTAAGTGTACCCATTTTTTTTCATCCTCACCCGAGGACATTTTTCCTTTTTTGGGGGGGGAAAGAAGTGTGAGGAAGAGAGAGGAGGAGAGAGAAAGAGAAACATCGACATGAAAGGGACACGTCAAGTGGCCGCCACCCACACGACCCAACCAGGGCCGAAGACAAACTGCAACTGAGGTACATGTCCTTAGCGGGAACCGAACTCAAGTCCCTCTGGATCGCAGCCCGACGCTCTAACCGCTGAGCCAAACTGGCCAGGGCTAAGTGTACCCATTTTTGAACTGGCAAACCAGATGCCTGTTTCAGAACAGCAGGCTTGTGTTTTATTGGCTTTCCTGGGACACCCAGGTCTCCTTTTTTCTCTGCTGAAAAGGTTAAGAAAAAGGCAGAACCTTAGAGGACAGTTAAATAAACAACATTTCAGGGCCACAATTCCAAGGGGCACATTCACAGGGGTTATAATGGAAATGCCCCCCTCATATAATGGGTGCCCTGGGCTGAAATAGTTATGTAACTGAAGAAAAGTCTTACTGCCTCAAAAGACTCAATGATCTCAAGAGAAAAGAATCATCTACTTCTCAAAAGCTTTTCCATGTGTTCTCATTTGATCCTGATGTAAACACGTTCTCTTTATATATGGAGAAACAGGTTCCATGGGCAAAGTTAAATTATCTTGGAAATGAACTTATGAGCTAACCTGAATTTCAGTTGCAAGTTTGTCCAGTCCCTCCATTTTGCATATTATAAGGTTGAGGCCCAGAGAGAAAAATAATTTAATGGAGTGCACACAGGGTCAGGCGGCAGAGCTGGGAGCAGAACCTAAGGGGATGGGTCTCAGGTGATCCTGAGAAGTAGACAATCTCAGACAGTGTTGCTTCTGTGAAATCCCATCACCCTTCCTACTCCCACTTCTGGGAATCATGCTTGTGACACCTCAGTTTTGCTGGCGAGTCCCCGGTCAGGTTCCAGTGGGGCCCAGGGTCTGTGAGTCTGTACTGTGTATTCCCTCCTGGGCCTGAGCCCAGTGCTGGTGAGGCGGTTCAGAATGAAGTGAACCTCAGACCACTTGGCATACAGGAGGCATTATTGTTGGAAGGAAAGAAGGAAGGAAGGAAGGAAGGAAGGAAGGAAGGAAGGAAGGAAGGAAAGAAGGAAGGGAGGAAGGCGAAGTGAGGGAGGGAGGAAGGGGTGAGGGAGGAAGGGAGGGAGAGAGAGAAAGAAAAAATGAAAGAAAGAAAGAAAGAAAGAAAGAAAGAAAGAAAGAGAAAGAAAGAAAGAAAGAAAAGAAAAGAAAGAAAGAAAAAGAAAGAAAGAAAGAAAGAAAGAAAGAAAGAAAGAAAGAAAGAAAGAAAGAAAGAAAAAAAAGAGGGGTGGAGGAGAGACAGGAAAAAAGAAAATTATATGCACATTTGTGTGCTCCTAGAAAAATGTCGAGAAGACTTGACTAGGAGCAGTAAATACACAGTACAATATACAGATGATGTATTGTCAAATTGTATACCTGAACTCTATGTAATTTTATTAACCAGTGTCGCCCCAATACATTCAATAAATATATAAACAAGAGAAAAATGTCTGGTAGCATAATAACCAAAACTGCCACTGAAGCAACCCCTGCGGAGTGAGGGGCAGGCGGGCTCACCTTTTTCTCCCAGTCCCCAAGGCCACTTCCCTTGTTCAGAAAGCAGGTTGGGGTCCCAGTACCTTTGCACTTGCCAGTTCCTTCCTTACATATCCATTATTTATTTATTAATTTCATTTTTTAATCCTCACCCAAGGATATTTTTCCATTTATCTTCGGGGGGGGGGGCATCGATGTGAGAGAGCCACATTAATCAGCTGCCACCTTCACAACCCCAACCAGGATCTGCCATCCTCATCACCCCAACCTGGGCCGGGTTGGAACCAAGGAAGGTATGTGCCTTTGGCCGGAATCGAACCCGGGTCCGTGGGCTGATGCTCTAACTGCTGGGCCAAACCGGCCAGGGCTGCTTACATGTACTTTAATCTTCACCTGGTTGCCATTCAGGTCTTTGCTCCTCCCCTAACCATCTCATCCAAGTAAATCTTGTTTATTTACTTGATTTTTGTCTTCCCCACCCTTGTTTCATGAAAACAGGAACTCCTGTTTCCACTGTATCCTCAGTGAAGGACAGGGTCAGACATAGAACAGCAGGTAGATGCTCAACGAGTACATACTTAGTGAATTAAGTTGGGCTTTCCACTTTTTACACTTTGCATTTTTAAACATTTTAAAATATGTTTTTATTGATATTTTTTACAGAGAGGGAGAGAGATGGAAATGGATATAAGAGAGATACATCGATTGGCTGCCTCCTGCACGCCCCCTACTGGGGATGGGTCCGGCAACTAAGGCAGGTGCCCTGACAGGGAATCCAACTGGGACCTCTGTCCCTGGGGCGATGCTCAATCCACTGAACCACACCTGCCGGGCACGTATTTTTAAACATTTTTAAGAGGAACAGAATATTTTTTTCCCCCTTTCATCCAAAAAAAATAAAACACAAAAGCAGCTCGGTTACTGCAAAGGGCTCTATCAGCAAACTGTCGAATTACGTAAGTTTCCAACTGAAAGCAATTTCCTCCTGGTGCTGACTGGGGACTCAGTCAATAGGGGAGCATTGCCTTGCCCAAGTCCAGGTGGCGGCACTCAGCAAGCCTGGCCGGGCCCAAATCCCCCTCTTCCCTGGGAGTCAGCCCGATCCCCTCCCAGAGTGTTCCGACCCAGGGGAGGCGGAGGGACTGGGAGGGAAAGGGACTGCGGAGACAGCGCAGAAAGTGGGGAGAGGACGGGGAAGGCGAAGCAGGGGCGCGCAGAGAGACGGGAGGGTGCAAGGTGACAGTGAGATGCGGGCAGGGAGGCGGAAGGGCATGAGATGGGGATCCTAGAGGGGGTGTGGGGTCTCTCGAAGGGGTGCAGAGGGGACCTAGGAGCACTGTGAGGACGGTGACAGAGGGCACCGTGTGGAAGGAGGTGAAGGTGCGGAGGGTGCGCAGAGAGGGTGAGGCGGCAGGAGGAGGGGCGAAGGGGAGGAGCCGGAGGTGGGGCAGGAGGAGGGGCGAAGGGGAGGAGCCGGAGGTGGGGCAGGAGGAGGGGCGAAGCCGGCTGGTGTCCCGAGCAGAGGAGAGGAGGGTCTGGCACTGGCAGAGGGTCTGCGCACCTCTCCCGAGCCGGCAGGGGGCTGTTGTTTCCATCCTGACCCGCTTCTCTACGAGGCTGGTGAGTCCTGGGCCCCGAGGACGCTCTCCCAGCCATCGGAGCGCGCTGGAGCTGAAAATGCGGCCCAGATTGCAGGCCGCAACCGTGACCAGCGTCCCTAAGACCCTCCCGCCCCAGGTCACCACGCAGACCGCAGCTGTAGAGGTCTCGCTCTAACGGCTGGCTGGCGTAGCTGGACTTCACTACCACCCAGCCCCAGAGATGGGGAAGAAGGGTGAGCAGTACATGCCTGTGGCCCAGTCCCCCCTCCGCCTTCCAGAAATGGAAAATGCTGGGGGTCGAGAGCCAGAGCCTTTTGTTCTCTTAGCTGTTGCCAGTGGCTCCCTAAGTGACTTTGGGCGAGTTCCGCTCCTCACTGGGCCTTCCTCTCCCCACCCACAAAGTGAGAGGGCTCTTTGGGTGGGTCTCCCTAAGTTTCGAACAGACTTCAATTCATTTCCTTGACCAACTTCCTTTAAGACATGTCCCAGATTCACCAGCCATATCCCTGCCAGGGCAAACAAGTGGCTGCACTCTGACCTCTCAGGTTTCATCAGGAAACCTGAATCAACTCTGTCTGGGGGGAAGAAACTGCATCCAGTCTGTGGACAATAGGCTGAGGAATTTGGTTCCTGTGCATTGAGGCACTAATTCTTTCACTGCTGGCCACCCAAGCAGATGTCATTACCTCCATTAAAGATGAAGCAGGGGCTCAGAGGGGCTTCACAACAGGTAGGACCAGGCTGCTCTGTTCTGCTTTTTGTCCTATGCTGTACAGATTTTCCAAAAAGATATATATTTTTTAAACTTGTTTATTGTTGAATGTATTACACATGTCCCTCTTCCCCCCCAACCTTGACCTCCCTTCTCCCCAATCCCACCCCCTTCCTGCTTTCCCCACATTATTGTTTGTCCATTGGTTATGCATATATGCATATAAGTTCTTTGGTTTCTGTCTTCCCGTCCCACCTCCCCCCTTCCCTTTGAAGTTCATCAGTCTAACAGCCAATTTGTACTTCCTAATCCCTTCATCTTTTTCACCCAACTCGCCTCCCCTCTGGCAACCAACAAAAAGTTCTCTGTATCTATGAGTCTGTTTCTGTTCTGCTTGCTCATTTTGTTTGTAGATTCGATTGTTGATAGATGTGTATTTATTCCCATTTTATTGTTCATGTTTTTTTATCTTCTTCTTCAAGAAGACCCTTCAACATTTCATATAATACTGGTTTGGTGGTGGTGAACTCCTTTAGCTTTTTCTTGTCTGGGAAACTCTTTATATTGTCATCAATTCTAACCGATAGCTTTGTAGGATAGAGTAATCTTGGTTGTAACTCCTTGCTTTTCATCACTTTAAATATTTCTTGCCACTCCCTCCTGGCCTGCAAATTTTCTTTTGAGAAATCAGCTGACAGTCTTATGGGAGCTCCATTATAAGTAACTAACTGCTTTTCTCTTGCTGCTTTTAAGATTCTCTCTTTGTCTTTAACCTTTTGCATTTTGATGATGATGTGTCTTGGTGTGGACCTCTTTGGGTTCATCTTGTTTGGAACTCTCTGTGCTTACTGGACTTGTATGTCTGTTTCCTTCACCAAGTTAGGGAAGTTTTCTGCCATTATTGTTTCAAATAGGGTTTTGATTTCTTTTTTTTTTTTTTTTTTAAATCTATTTGCCATCTTAGCTTAACTTTTATTTATTTATTTATTTATTTATTTATTTATTTATTTATTTCCTCACCGGAGGACATTTTTCCATTTTTTGTTCAGGTAGAGTGGAAGGGAGAGAGAGGAACAGCGAGAGAGAGAGAGAGAGAAACATCGATGTGAAAGGAACACATCGAGTGGCTGCCACCCACACAACCGACTAGGGCCGGGGACAAACTGCAACCGAGGTACGCGCCCTTAGTGGGAACCGAACCCGGGTCTCTCAGGACCGCAGGCCGATGCTCTAACCGCTGAGCCAAACCGGCCAGGGCGGGTTTTGATTTCTTGTTCTCTCTCTTCTCTTTATGGCATCCCCAAGATGTGACTGTTGGCATGCTTGAAGTTGCCCCAGAGGCTCCTTACACTATCCTCATTTTTTTCTTGGATTCTTTTTTCTTTTTGCTGTTCCGATTGGGTGTTTTTTCCTTCCTTATGTTCCTACTCAATAGTTTGCTTCTTGGCTTTACCTACTCTACTATTGAATCTGTGTATTCTTTATTTCAGTTAGTGCTTCCATTTCTGACTGGTTCTTTTTTATGCTCTTGAGGCCCTCACTAAGTTCATTGAGCATCCTTATAAGCAGTGTTTTGAATTCTGCATCTGTTAGGTTCAATAGTGTAATGGTTAGCACTCTGGACTCTGAACTCTGCATCTGTTAGATTGCTATTTCTGTTCATTTAGTTCTTTTCCTGGAGTGTTGTTCTGTTCTTTCATTTGGGACATGTTTCTTTGTCTCCTCATTTTGGCTGCCTCCCTGTGTTTGTTTTTGTGTATTAGGTAGAGTTGCTATGTCTCCTAGGCTTCCTAGGGTGGCCTATTGTAGTAGCTGTCCTGTAGAATCTAGTGGCACAGCCTCCCTGATCACCCATCTGGGCCCTCAAGGTGCAGCCCTCGTGTAGACTTTATACCCTTCTGTTGTAATTGAGTCTTGATAGCTGTTGGCACCTCAATGAGACAGTTTTACTCAGGCTGTACAGCTGCAAGTGTTGTGGCACGACAGAGTCAAAGAAAGGCCACTAGAGAATTGAAGTCCAAATAAGAGCTGTTTATTAGCCGGGTGGTGTCTGATTCTGAACACCCCTGTGACAGTCTTTGGAATCAGACCCAATATGCTTTATTACATGCCTTTTATACCTTACAGAAAATAGGATCTTCTTAATATAATGCCCAAGGCCACAGCAATGCTGTATAGAATTAGTTTGCCTTACGGATAAACGGAACACCCGTGTATTTCAAGGAACATTGGGTCACACTTAGCCGAGCTGCACAAATACAATGCAAGCCTGATTCCTTGAGACTGTGGGGAAGGTCGAGTCTCTGACTCAAGACTCAAGTCTCTGACTCCGTGGATTCTGTCAGACACATAGCTGGCTCCCAACAGTTTCTTGGTTCAGGGAGTATTCCAGTTTACTGAGGTTATTTTTACTAAACAGGTTCAGCCAGAGGGCACACAGTGACTTTCCCAATCATCAGTTATGGAGCAGCACAATAATTTACCAATCATCAATTATGGGGTTATAAACATGCCAACACAGTGGGGTTATAAACATGTCAGCACACAAGGGCTGGCTGTGCCAACTGACCACTGACCTGTGACTACTTTGGATGATTAGCTATGCCCACCACACAGAACAAGACTTACGTCAGCAGGGCTCTGGTCCATTCCTTGAGTGTGTCGCTTGTGGAGGTGGTTGGGTGGTGGTACTTTGATGAGGTCTGAAGCTGTCCACTAGGTGTCCTGGCTCTGGGGCAAGGTCAGCCACTGCCTGTGTTCTACCCAGGGCCACGAGGCATGAGCTACAAAGCAATCTGCCGATGGTGGCTTCTTGTGCTGGGCTTAGAGGTGCCCAGGCAAAGCCAAGCTGTGAACCAAGGCTGGCTACTCCTAATGCCAGGCCTGGGGCACTTAGTGTGAGTTATGGGGCTCACTGTGGCCACATGCTGCTTGTTTGAGAGGATTTAGGATAATCTGAAGCAGGAGCCAAAACAGGCCAATCTTGGGTGGGCCTGAAAGTTGGGTGGGGCAGGGCCTCAGGGAATCACCAGGGCGGGGCAACCAGTGTGAGCCAGGTTGCTGGAGTCCCAGATATGGCAGCTGTCAGCCGACCTCGTGGGGGAAGGGCTCACAAAGGAAAAACGGCCTCTGCCACCACCTCTGTTCAGGGGAAAGCTGCCGCTCCAGTCCTCACCCTGATGCCATGAGGAGACACAGCTTCAGAAAGAGACACTCCCCGGGTCACACACAGAGTTGGCAGCATCAGAATTTGAACCCAGTCTGTATGACTCTAAAGCCTGAACTTTCACTGTACTTGCTCTTTCATTCCAGGATCTTCTGCTGTGAAACATTAACCAAGTGCCAGAAATTCTGACCCAGGAGGCCTGGAAAGAGACAACCATTAGGTTGTGGAGGTGTGTCTCGTCCAACTCGTTTCTTCTTGGCCCTTGGAACCTAAGGTAGACCTGGAGTAGACTCGGCCTCCTGCTGCGGATCCATGGCTCACCGGCTTCAGATACGGCTGCTGACATGGGACGTGAAGGACACACTGATCAGGCTCCGCCACCCCGTGGGAGAGGAATATGCCTCCACAGCCCAGGCCCATGGGCTGGAGGCAGAGGCCCCAGTCCTGGAGCAAGCCTTCAGGCAGGCGTTCAGGGCTCAAAGCCGCAGCTTCCCCAACTATGGCCTGAGCCATGGCCTCACCTCCCGCCAGTGGTGGCAGGATGTGGTCCTGCAGACCTTCCACCTGGCGGGTGTTCAGGATGCCCAGGCTGTGGCCCCCATCGCTGACCAGCTGTACAAAGACTTCAGCAACCCCGGCACCTGGCAGGCGTTGGAGGGAGCTCAGGACACCCTGCAGGAGTGCCGAAAACGAGGTCTGAGGCAGGCAGTGATCTCTAACTTTGACCACCGGCTAGAGGACATCCTGGTGGGTCTTGGTCTGCGGGAACATTTCGACTTTGTGCTGACCTCTGAGGCTAGTGGCTGGTGCAAGCCAGACCCTCGCATTTTCCACAAGGCCTTGCAGCTAGCTCATGTAGAACCGGCAGTGGTAGCCCATATCGGGGACAGTTACCACCATGATTATAAGGGGGCACGGGCTGTAGGCATGCACAGCTTTCTAGTGGTTGGCCCAGGGCCTTTGGACCCTGTGGTCAAAGATTCTGTACCCCAAGAACATATTCTCCCCTCACTGCCCCATCTCCTACCTGCCCTTGACCGCCTGGAGGCCTCGCCCACAGGGCTGTGAGTCTGGTGAGGGAAGTGGCTGGGCCCAACAAACACTGCAGACAGGGAGCCCTTTCCTTCCCAAGATCTGGCCTTAACTCCTCCCTGCAGCCTCCGTGATGCCTTCTGACTATAAAGCAGAGTGTGAGGCTTTCAGCCCTGCCCCACTAACCAGTCCTGGTCTGAGACGGTTCATTCATCATGCCTGGGTCCCTTTTGCACAATCCCCTCACCTCCAACAAGGTTCACTAAGGGCCCAACTAGCTTCCAAACCAGGCACTTTGAAACTTCGCTTTACCAGCAGGGCTTTTGATATTATGTGGAACCCCAATATGCAAAATAGGAAAAAAGGAGAGACTGCTAGGGTTGAAGCAGAGGTTCTGGGGCCCCTCATTCAGGCCCCGAAGCCTCTGTAACTCTCCCCTCACCCCACAAAGCTTGAGGTCAGAGTTGAGTTGGAAAATCGGGGCGCTGCCCTGCTGATGTGGTTCAGTGGATTGAGCCTTGTCCCATGGACTGGGAGGTCCTGCTTCAATTCCCAGTCAGGGCACATACCAAGGTTGTAGGCTCGATCCCCAGTGGGGAACGTGCAGGAGGCAGCTGATCAATGTTTCTCCTTCACGTTGATGTCTCTCTAAGAAATCCATAAAAACGTATTTTTAAAATGGAAAAGAACAAATTGGAGTGCCAAGTTGTGCTTAAGGATATGTCCCCTCTGACCACATAGTCTAAACAGGAGATTTTAGACAAGAGAAGAAATTTGATTTTCCCTCCCTTGTGTTAGATACTCTGCCAGTCCTTTATATGCATATAGAACCCTCACAGCTATCTTTGGCCATAGGTAGTGTGACTTCCACTTTACAAGGGATTCAGAGGTAAAATAGCCTGCCTGAGGTCACAGCTAGAACATGAAGGAGCCAGAATTCCAATTTAGGCATGCCTGACTCCAAAGTCCATTGGCTTCACCACTAGGTTGCAAGTAGAGAGGGATCCATGTCACATGAGACATAGTGCATTGGAGCTCCTGGAAGAATAGGAAGGTGTCCTAAAGGATGTCAGTCTTGAAAGACACCTGTCATGGGGGTTAGTGTGGGGTAGGAAAGTGCAGGGAACAGGGACAAGTCCAAGGTGGCAGAGGATTAAGTGTGAGGAGAATCACTGGAGATTGAGGAAGTAGGTTGGGTGTTTAAAGTCCATGTCTCTTCCTGCCTGTCCCCTCTTCACATCTCTCTACTTGGTATTTACTGGACACCTCTGTGCCCAAGCCAGTGCCAAGCACAGGGCATACCACAGGTGAAAAGCACGTAGACAGGAACATACACATTATGTTCTGGTGCCAACAGCCAGGGAGGGCTCTGGCGTGGACCCTGAACTGGGACTGGCATTTAGATAGGCAAGAAGATAAGGTATCCCTAGCAGCAGGCCCATGAACTGTGGGCAGGGCTGCTAAGGGAGTTGGATTGGTGGCTTGGGGAGTGTGGTGTTTAGAGCCTTTGGGTGCCATTTAGAAGAATTTGGATTTGACCCAGGTTTTGGGGCAGGGAAGCTCCTCTCAGATACCTTCCCTAGCGTCAGGCAGCGAGGACAGTGTCCTGAGCTGTGGTCTCAAAGCCATAAGGGCCTCAGAAGTCATTGCAACCAAAAAAGTTGCCAATTGGTCTATGGACTGGATTTGATCCACCCAGTGTTTCAAGTAAATTACTGAGCAAACTTAAGAGTGAGCAAGGCCCTGGCCCTATCTTTGAGCCCTAGAACCTGAAGTAGGTGAGATTGCTTTTGAGCTCTTCCCCAATGAAACAAAAACATGAGGACTACTGCTCTAATGTGTCCATAAAGATCAGGAAAGGACTTGCCCTTGGTCCTTGCAATGCAGGGCACAGAACTGACTCCATGCCCTTTAGGCGGTGTATGCTGACCTCAGCCACCTGCTTATCTCTGGGAATATGGATGAGGGTGGGGATGACATCAAATTCCCAGTAAACACACCTCTAAGATTTGAGCTGGCCCTTGAGAGGGTCTGCCCAATTACCAACAAAGAACATGGGAGGAATTTTTCAGTCTTTTAAAACCTTTAATAATGTACATGTTCTCTAAGGCTGGCTCTCTTACCCCTTCAGCTCCTTCTGGCTCCAGGCTCTCACCCCAGGTCTCCACATTATGTCAAAGGGGCCACCATGTGGGGTACTCATCAGCTGCAGCTGGGGGAAAAGTTCATCCCTGTCACCCCAGTGGGCACAGGCTGGAGGTGAGCCGCCAGGTACAAGGCACAGCTGCTGATGGGTGTGTTGCAGTCAGGGTACCTGGAGATAGGATTTTCTGTCTTCTGGGTGGCCAGGTAGGATCTGGGGAGGAGGACAGAGCCCCCCAGGCCAGAGCCCTCTGACCAGGAGCAGCCTGGCAGGAGTTCTAAACCCCTTCCAGGTTGTCCTTGTGTGCTAGAAAAATATTTTCGCTGTGTTGTGTCATGCAAAGGGCTGAGCAGCACTGAATGAGATGAAAGACTTCAGCCACAGGCTTTGCTGCCACGGAAGCACTTCCATGCTCAGAGCTGGGGGGTGGGGCCGAAAGGCAGTGCTTCTCCGGGAGTCTAGCATGTGCACCCGGCCACCCGCCTATCCATCCACCCACTCGCCAAATATGTATTGCATGCTCACCAGGCACCATGCTGGATGTCTGAGATAAAGTGAACGAGACACCCTCATGTTGAATTTGGGAAACTAAGGCCTAGGGAGTGGAAGGTTCCCCACAGACACCAGCATTCAATGGTTGTACCCAGATCTGAAATGGATCCCAACCCCTCCCAATGCCGCCCAGTGGGCATGAGCAACATCTGGGAAAAGAATATTGGGTAGAAGTGTGGCCTAAAAGGGTGGTGGGCAGGCAGATCTAGCCTCCCCAGGGCCAAAGGTCAGTGGACAATGGAAATGGTCTGGTCAGCCACAGCAAAGACTGGGAAAAGGGGCCCAGGGAAGGATGCATGGTGGCTGTGGAGCACCACGCCCGAGGCCGGATCATAGAATAGCAGCTCCTGGGCCTGCAAGTCCAACAGTATGCCCAGCTGGGCTGGGCAGCGCAGCAGACCCAGGGGCTCGTGCTGCCCATCGTGTGAGAAACAGAACTCTTGGTCGTAGCGGGAGAAGACCCAGGAGTAGGCGCTGTGGCCCAGACGAGAGTCACTGCCAGAACCCTTGCGGGGCAGCTGGCCCAAGGCCACGCCCACCTTGTAGGCACAACTGTTCTGCACATTCACCATCCAGGCGTGCAGCCCAGCCTGGAAGGAGGTGGCAGCCAGAGCATTGGGCCAGTGGTCAAAGCGCTCTGGGTCGTCTGCACAGGCCTTGGACTTCTTGGCACTGAAGGTCAGAGTCTTTCGGTCATCTGACAGTTGCAGGAAGGGGCTGACAGTCCTCTCGTCGATACGCACATCCTCCATGCCTGCCAGAAAAAAAAAATGTGTTTTTTACCCTCACCCGAGGACATTTTTGCATTTATCTTCAGATAGAGTGGGAGGGAGAGAGGGGGGAAGAGAGAAAGAGAAACATCGATGTGAGAGACACATCCACTGGTGGCCACCCACACGACTCCAAACAGGGCCTGGGACAAACTGCAACTGAGGTACAAGCCCTTAGCAGGAACCGAACCTGGGTCTCTCTGGTCTGCAGGCCGACACTCTAACCGCTGAGCCAAATCAGCCAAGGCCAGAAAAAACTTCTCACAGTCGCCCAAGGTCCACGCTCAGCCCTACCCTGGTCCTGCCTGGTAGCAAAGGGCTTCCTTATCACTCACTGCCACTCTGACCTCAGACAAGCCATTTACTCTCTCTGAGCTTCAGTTTCCTCATCTGTAAAATGGGCATCAAAATAGGGCTTACCACAGGGTAGACGTGAGGATCCAATGAATTGATACATGGAAAGTACCTAGCAATAATATGTGCTCAATAACTTGTGGCCATAACGGTAGTTATTATTATCTGGAAACTGAGACAGATAAAAGGCCCAGAGAGGAGAAGCGAGTTGCCCAAGGTCACACACCAAGTTGGTGGCAGGGGCAAAATTAAGACCCAGCGCTTTGTTCCTGCATCAAGCATCATACTGTACCCTGCTGGGCAAATCTGCGGCCTCCAGATCCGACTTGTCCTGGGGACACAGGCCCCTGAAGCTAGGAAGCGTCAGGCATGCATTTCCAACAACTAACGACATGGGACTGCTAGCTAATCAGACAATACTTGTACCGGATTCTCGAGAATTCCAGCTTGTACTAACGTTTTAAGGATAATGGGTAACGGGGAGCTGGGGAGGGTTAAAATTGAGAAAAATTTCAATTCACCAGTGAACTTAACCCTGTGTATTGTGCAAATACCATAACTGGGAGAATGGAAGCCTCTCTCTAGCTTGGGGGAAGCCCGCTTTGAGAAATCCCACACTAAGTGGGAATTTGTGGAGGCAGGAGACCGTGTCACATTCACCTCTGGGGCCCCAGCCTGCAGCCACCAGGTCAGGCCCAGTGAGCCTGAGTCGATGTTTGTCCAGTGAGGCGAATCCAGGCAGCTCAATTCTCACTCCAGATGCTCCCTGGCTCGTCATCAATTATATCTTCTTAAAGAGAAACCAGGTTTCTAAGAAATACTACTGAACTGTCCCAGTAGGGCAGGACATAAGAAGGACGTGATTTACAGGCACAAGACTTATCCTTGACCCAACTACAGAGCAAGTTGGTCTGAAAACAGGAAGGACCTGGCCCAGGTGCCCCGGGTCTTTCCAGAACCTTGGCTCCACTGACAAGCCTGCCCGCACCACCCCTGGTCCTTTCAGCTACCATCCCGAATGCACCAGTCCCCAGGATTCACCACAGACAGACAGACAGACAGACGCCCAGTTGTTCCAGCTGGTGCTGGGCTCTAGCGGCTTCTAACCTGAGAGGGAGCCGAGAGCTGCTGTTGCCCAGAGTTGAGTCAGAAGTGGGCTCCAAGCACACTTCTCATTAAAGTTTAACTTTTTCGACTCCTGAGGATCCAAAATGCCCTCTGCTTCCTCAGTCCTTGTACAGAGAGAAAAACAAACAAACAGAGATTCAGAAGGGAACTGGAAATGTATCTGGATCAATACAGGGTGATTGGGGGTGGTGGACAGAAGCAAAATTGGCAACCAGACCCCAGGGAGGAGCTGACCCAAGGGGACTGAAGCCAAAGGGAAGGTGGACATTTTCCCTGTGCACCCCCCGCCCCCCCCCACACACACACACAGGAAGCCTTAATTCCGCAAGGCAGATGATTGACAGGGCAGTAACTACTGGTGCTAGTATCGTGACTTGGAGTTGGTCTGCTGTGTGGAGGCTCCTCACCCATGGATCGGGACATTAGCAGCGGGGCTAGGACTTGGGCCTCGCGGACCTCTGTGCGGCAGTCTTTCCCCTCTACCGTCTGCCCAGAGAAAATGTCGCCTCCCCTCCAAAACCGACTGCCGCAGTAATGCTGCCCTTGATTTGATCAGCAGGTACAGCTAACTCCTCGGCTCTTACACCACCAACACCCCTGCGGGATCACACAGGAGGGGATTTCAGCTGTCTCCCAACTATAAATTATTCACAGCACTTTGCTCCCAATGACTAACCACCTCGCCTCAGCTCACAGCTGGGATTGGGTTTGGTTGGAGAGGGAAAATGGGAACAAGGAGAATTGCCATTTAAGCAGTCAGGCTCTGGGCTGGCTGTTTTCTCTGCAACTAACCTGGAAGGTAATTGTCACCCATTTGGCAGGAGAGAAGAGAGATTCAGAGAAAGCACTCAGATAAAAAGGGGAGCTGATTCAAGCCCTACCTCCAGGCAAAAAGAGAACAAACCCAGGTTGGAGTCCGGCACCACTCAACATAATTTTCCCCTTGGCCTGAAGTGACATCTCAAAGGGGTATAGAACCAAGTGGGGATTTGCCACTGAGCTTTTACAGCCTTTTGACATAGGCTCTGAGAAAGAACTTCCCACTGCCTCTCGTCCTGAAGATGGCTTTGACGTCAGGCAGCAGTTCGGAGAGCACACTCTCTTCCCCAAATCTCATGGCTCTGCCCATTGATGAAGGAGAGGGGAGAGAGGGTAGGGCATCTCATGGATGCCAGCTCTTTGCAAGATTGTCAATGACTGTCCTGGCTTGGGAGGAATGAGATGAACAGAGCCCTAGAAAAGCCGGGAGCAGGCTAAAGTAACAAAGGCTCTTTGTGGTCAGACAACAGAGGGTCTGTTGCCATCTTCTCAAAGCAGTGAGGCTAGGTCTTCAGGTGTCCCAGCCAGCAAGTAGAGAGGAATGAGGAGCAGTGTTGTCACTGCTAAGCCATCTTCCCAGGGCAAATTTGAGGCCAGTCATAGACATCAGAATCTAGAAAACCAGCTGGTCCAGGTATATCATGGTACAGAAGAGAAAATTCATGACTCCAAAGGAGGAGAAGTGAATTGGGGTTGGGACATAGCAGGGCCCCGGCTGGGATCAGAAGGCCTGGTCTGTGCAGCAGGACCTGTTGCTGTTGACAGGCCAGAGCCGAACCCAGCCAGGGATGTGGACAAAAAATATGAGCCAATAAAGGCGTTTCTCAAACAAGTGAGTTCCCAGCTAGAAGGGACTTCACAACTTTTGAACACAGTACTTTGAAAGTATACACCCTCAGGCACCAGGAACTACAAGTAAATCTTGATCTCTATGAATAGGTTTGTCAGTAGTGGTATAGATTTAGCAATTCTCAAACACATCTGTGTGTATTGTAGGACTAAGCAAATGAATGACTATATTGCTGTTGCTGGATGCCAAGGTTCTCACTGTAAAAGAAGAAAGATATAAACATAGAATCGAGAAGGCAAAGGGAAAACTCTGTGGTGTTCTCTTGGAATTAGAAGTTGTGATACAGTCTGGCTGGTGTGGCTCAGTGGTTGAGCGTCGACCCACGCACCAAGAGATCGCTGGTTGGATTGTTGTTCAGGGCACATGCCCAGGTTGTAGGCCCAATCCCCGGTGGGGGACATGCAGGAGGTGGCCAATCCCCAGAGGGGGACATGCAGGAGGTGAAACATCATCGATGTTTCTTTCTCTCTCCTTTCCTCTCTCTAAAATCAATAAAGAAAAAATATTAAAAACAAAACAAAACACCACACTCATACTTCCCAGCGCTATCTGCTATCTACTGAGAAGGCCTGGAAGCAATGATGCATCAGCAGCAATGCACATCTAGTGCCCGGATCATGGTTTTTAAATACTACTCCCCACTAAATGGGTACCAAGACTCTCTGGAGAAATAGCTGCTTTCAGGCCTGAGGCAGGAAAAAAACAAGGTGAGCCTGAAGGGACTAGAACTGGCCAAATCTAGGACAGTTTGAAGATCAAAATTAATAATAGTTGCCTGGCTGCTGTGGCTCAGTGGATTGAGCGTTGCCCCGTGGACTGAGAGGTCCAGGTTTGATTCCCAGTCAGGGCACATGCCAGGTTGCAGGCCTGATCCCCAGTAGGAGGCGTGTGAGTGGCAGCCAATTGATGTATCTTTCACACATTCATGTTTCTCTCTCTCAAAAAAAAAAAAATTACAAAAATAATATTAGTAGTAGTGATAGATTGTAATGCACTGAATAAAAGAATCCACAAGTGTATAGTGATCCTAAATAAGTGAATGAACAGCCCTGGCCGGTTTGGCTCAGCGGTTGGAGCATCAGCCTGCGGTCCGGAGAGACCTGGGTTCGGTTCCCGCTAAGGGCACGTACCTCGGTTGCAGTTTGTCCCCGGCCCTGGTTGGTCGTGCGGGTGGCAGCCACTCGATGTGTCCCTTTCACATCGATGTTTCTCTCTCTCTCTCCCTCCTGCTCTATCTGAACAAAGAATGAAAAGGTGTCCTCGGGTGAGGATAAAAAAATAAATAAAAAATAAAAATAAAAAAAATAAAATAAGTGAATGAACAAACAAGCAAATAAATAAATGAATAATTCAAGAAGGAATTTAGCATCAATGGAGACTAAAACTATTGGATGAAGTTTAAAGGTAAACAGGCTGTTTATACAAAAAGTACTTCCTTACACTGCTTATTAGTTACAAAAGGAAAGACGTAACTTTATAATGAAGCAGCCCAGTAGGCACCACTTTCTCCATGTGACCAAAATTAACATCCCTGATAATGGGACAAAGTGACATCACGTGCCCCCCAATTTGACAGACTGAGAACACATCATTTATGAGATATTCTTGCCCAAAATGCAAAATCTGAACCTAATTATAAGATAACAACAGAGGAACTCAAATTGAGGAATGTTCTAGAAAAAAAACTGTCCTAGACTCATTAAAAATGTTTAAAAAAAAAAAAAAAAAAAAAGGCTAAGGAACAAATTCCAGATCAAAAGAGACCAGATGAATCAGGAAAACAAACAACAACAACAGCAATAATGCCAAACATGGTTAAGAACTTTTTTGGCTCAGTTGGCAACACTTGAATATGGGCTATATATATTAGATAATATTACATCAACATTAAATTTCTGAACTTGATCATTATGCTGTGGTTATGTAAGAGAATATCTTTGTTTTTGGAGACAAATGCTGAAGTCTAGATTAAAAGAGCATGTTTTCTGCAACTTACTCTCAAATAGGTCAGAAAAAAGTAAGTTTTTTATATATTCACTTGATAAATAGATAAAAGAGCAAACCTGACAAAATGTTAACAATTAGCATTTCTAAGTGAAGGTCACTATGCTATTTCTGTAAGTTTTCTATGAGTTTAAAATATTTCAAAACAAAAAAATTGAAGATCAAAATTTTTTTCAAAAATCACATCAGCTGGATATTGCAGACTGACTGACTGTGTTAAAAGAAGATGAAGACGAAGGAGAAAGAGAAGACTAACAGAAGTGTGGAAAGATTACAGGAGGGGAAAAGTAGGAACAAGCCAAACACACATTAAAAGGAGATAGTACAATGAACGTGGGTGCATCCATACTGTGGAATGCTTCACAGACTTGCCAAAAAGTGAGGCAAGCCTACATGTACTGGCATGGCAAGACTCCAAGATAGCCTGACAAATTATGGAACAATAAGTATAAAATGATCCCATCTGTGTTTTTAATAATTTTTTTTTTATCCTCATCTGAGGACATTTTCCCATTTTTATTCAGATAGAGTGGGAAGGAGAAAGAGAGAGAGAAACATCGACGTGAAAGGGACACATTGGGTGGTTGCCACCCACACGACCCAACCAGGGCCGGGGACAAACTGCAACCTAGGTACGTGCCCTTAGTGGGAACCGAACCTGGGTCTCTTTGGACCGCAGGTCGATGCTCTAACTGTTGAGCCAAACCGGCCAGGGCAAAAAATATTTTTTTAAGGAGGCAAAAAAAAAATGTCTCCCATGATTATACATAGGAAAGTCCCAAGACACAAAACTAACTGTTAAAACTGATCACTTCTAGGGAATGGGATTAAGGAGTGACTCATTTTTAATTTTAATAGTTTTTTTTTTTCTTTTATTGATTTTAGAGAGAGGAAGAGAGAGAGAGAAACATCAATGAGAGAGAACATTGACTGGCCGCCTCCTGCATGCTCCCCACTGGGGATCGGGCCCACAACCTGGGCATGTGCCCTGACTGGGAATCGAACTGGCGACCTCTTGTTGCATGGGTCGATGCTCAACCACTGAGCCACATGGGCCGGGCAACTTTTTTTTTTCCCGAGGGCCTTCCGGTAAAAACCAGAAGATTTACTAGACAAATTCAAAAAGAGCTGTAAGCACTCGGCCAGTCAATTTTAACAGTTTTATATCGGTGGGATTTTTTCTTTCTTTCAAATACATATATTGCTAGTGAAGCTTAAATACAAAAATAGATAAGAAGAATGGGTTGTGCTCCCAAGTACAGCTCTGAAATCTTGCACAGAAAATTAAGAATTTAATTTCTTTGCCTGACCAAGTACATCCTTTAAGCCATTTCCTCAGGCTCTTTGTTCTCAGCCTTTGGGGACCTAGGTAGGGCCTCTTGAAATTCTTTTCTTATTGCATAATTAAAATGCAAATTTTGATGGTTTCAAAGATTCTTTCATCAGAGAAAGTGGGAGTGAGAAGACAGTCCTGAGATAGGGGGGTCCCAGTCCCAGCTGGGGGCTTGGGCAAGTCCCTTTCCCTCTTTGAGCCTCGGCATTCTCATGTGTAGATGGGGTGGTAAAACCCTGAGACAGTTCTTAATAGGATCATGTTAGACTGTGGCAAGGCCCTGATTAATAAGTGATTATTTCACTCCCTTACACATGGTCTACAGCAGCTCTCCAAGCTAGGGGCAGGAAGGCCCTGTCCATCGTCCCTCGCTCCAGAGGAGCCGCTCAGCTAGGGGCAGAAGGCCCTGTCCATCGTCCCTCGCTCCAGAGGAGCCGCTCAGCTAGGGGCAGAAGGCCCTGTCCATCGTCCCTCGCTCCAGAGGAGCTGCTCAGCTGCACACCCTGGGCTTTCTCCCAGGAGCAGCGGAGCCTGCATGCAATGGGCTATTTACAGGCCCAAAGTCCATGGTTTCCATGACTGTCCAAGCAAATTAGGGACCAAACTCACCTCTCAAAAATCTCCTGCTCCTTCTGCTGTGAGAAAAGAAAACAGAGTCAGGCTTGGCACCAGAAACCCAGCAGGCAATCAGGATTTGAATATATTCAACTGGCGTGGAGGGCCCCACAGGGACAGAGACTCTAGAATAAAAATGAATCATTTTGTCCCCTGTGCCCCCACGGTGTCCTGAGTTTCTCTCAACTACACTTCAGGTTGAGCACATATTTACCCAACATTTCATCCCCCATCAAGACTGTCAGCAACTAGATGGCTGGGTTCCTTTCTGGGTTTCTATTGTGACTGTCCCAGTGTTGAGGACAGAACGTGCTCTGAACGTGGAAGCTGTGTGATGAAAGGAATGCACAATCTAGGGCAGTCATGGAAACTGTCCTACTTGAACTGCAGTGCGACAGACAGCTCAGCTGCTCTACATTCTCACTTCTCTGTTTGGCATATTTATTCAGGTGCCACACTGTCCCTTAAAACTACAGGTATCTGCATATCTATATAAAAGACTTTGAAAGGATATGTACCAAAATATTAATCATGGTAATTTCCAGATGGCAGGCTTAAAGATGAGCTGTATGTTTGCATATTGGACCCCTTGGCAGCTCTTCAGGTTCGGAGTTCTCACTCCACCTCCCCACTTCCTTTAACATAACTGCAACCCTCATCTTTCAGGCATCAGCTTCTAAGTCGCTTCATCCAGGAAGCCTTCCCGGACCCCCTCAAGTTTGGCTTGTGGGGGCCCTAGCTCCTAGGAGTGTCATCTACCACAGCACATATCCTGATCATCAGTTTATGTGAGTCACTGACAGCTGTATCCTGTACCTCTCCGCCATAGCACAATGCTTAGCACATAGCAGGCACTCAGTCAACACTTGCTCACTATTGAAAAGCTAAGTTACCAGGTACAAAAAATAATCCATATAACTTAATTTCCCCACCTCGTCCCTGCTCCAAATTATCATTATCTACACACCTCCGACCAATAAACATTCTCGATGTTTTCAGACCTTTTGGAGAGACTGGCCAACTGGTCACGCCCTCACCTCCGCTTGACTTACAATCAGCTGGAGGTCATCCGTATGGGTGAGCACGTCCACCAGGAAGGTGCGGATGGCGTCGAGCTTCTCCAGAGCCTCGGCCCAGTGCACTCGCTGCGTCAGGATGCTCTGGTGGGCCCGCTCCTCTTCGCCATGCACACGTTCCAGCAACCGCTGCTCCTCGGTCTCACACAGGCTCCTCACCAGACCCAGCCGCTGGATGACCAGTTCCCGCGCTGCGCTGGCCATGCTCTAACAGGGGGTAAAAAAACAAAGAGTCGGATCCTGGCAAAGCCCCTGTCAAGTTAGGAGTGCCCCGTCAAGTCCAAAGGAGTGCCGAGGCTGATCAGCAACGTCTGCCATGGGCACTGTAGTGGCAGTAACAGTGCTTAAGCCACTAGCTCTAAGAGTTCCCAAATGTGGTTTAGAGTAAAGAAATTCGAAAGCCAGACATCCAGGCCATATCTCATGGAACCAGGTTCCCAGAATGGAAGGGCTGGGCAGGGACTAGAGAGCAACTAGAATAGCCTGCTAACTTCACAGAGGAATACCAAGGCCATGGGACCGAGGTCAGAGATCACAGAACTGCAGAACAGAAGGGCCTACAAAGGCATCCTCATCAACAGGATCTGTATCAACTGTGGTCCAGTTGATATTTTTGACCATGTCTGAGAACAAAAACTATCATTTCCTAATATGTTCATTTGAACTGCTTCTGTGGTTGAATTCTTTTCTGACACACAGGAGGCCTGAAATCAATCGTCAGACAATGAAGTTAATGTGTATCTCCTAGAAACTAGCACAGTGTCTGGTATACACTTAAATGTTTACTGAATGACTGATGGGACATTTTTTTCCCCACTTAATAAAAAATCTCGTGGTAGCAATCACACGCCAAGGCAGTGACAGAGCTGGGACTAGAACCCAGTTCTCTTGACTCTCAGTTCAACACTATCCCCCTACACCAGTGCCTTCTGGGAATCAATCCTACCCACAGGTGTCTATTGTATGAAGCACCTGCACACTTGCCAGACAAGTAAAAGGAGAACAGTCTCCTCTACGCCAGAAAGTCAATGGCTTCCCTGTGCCCTGCCCCTGAAGACCTGCTTTGTACAGGGCAGGTGACAATTGTCCCTGTTTAACAGATGAAGCTCAGACCCATGACCCAGTGGGGAAGAGGGAGTGGCAAAGGCATTCAGATTCCACTTCGGTGTTCTCTGGAGGCAACATAACATAGGGGTTGGGAAATTAGGCTTTGGAGACAGTGCCAAAGTTTCGATCTTAGCTCTTCCACTTATTATATGTGGAACTTTAAGCAAGTTACTTATCATGGCTATGCCTCAATTTTCTAGTCCGTCAGCTGAGGATGATAATCGTACCTACCTCATAAGGCTACTGCGAGGGTTAAATGAGTTAATACGTATAAAGTAAATAGAGCCCAGCCGGCACTGAGTGCCCCAAAACATCAGCTACTGCTCTTCTCTCGGTCCCACTTTGTTGCCCACAGTGGTGAGCATCTGTAATTACACTGTGTGATCAGGGTCAATAACAGACCCCCCACCTAAGAGGCATCGATTCTCCCTGACTAGAAGATGGCAGTCAATTTCAACACACTTCTTGAGTCATTCCCAGAAATGAATGGCACAGAACAAAAGAAAACTTCCCTTTCCAAAGATATGACAGAGTAAACTAGAAAACATTCCTAAAACAAAACACAGACATGCTGTAAAAACAGCCCCAAAGCATCCTTAAAAGTGAAGCTGCTCTGGCAGTTGAGAAAGGAAATCGCCCGGAGTCCAGAGGAGGAAAGGAATTGGAAACTAGTGTAGTCTGGAACTGAGGACTCAGTTGCCCTGGGATGGGCTTGTGATTTGCTTTAGAAACGTATACTCATCTAAGCCATCACGCAAGGGCATCCAAGTGATAAAGGACTGGTTTACCAAGAATATATAACAAATCTAAATTATACACGTTTCATAAATAGCACCAAACTATAAAAAGAATACTTGACAGAATTTTAAGGAAAAATAGACAAGTCCACAGCATAATATGAAAATGTAAATGCCCCTCACCAGTAATCAATAAATCTGACAGATAAAAAATTAATACATATAGAGATGATTTGACCCAATTAATGATTAATTTATATGTATGTATGTATGTGTCTGTGTATACACACACAGACATACACACACACACACACACACACACACACACACACACCCCTGGGGGGGTTGGTTCAGCAGTTAGAGTGTTGGCCCCTGGACCAAAGGATCATGGGTTCAATTCTGATTAAGGGCACATACTGGGGTTGCAGGTCAGGTTCAATCCCTGGCCGTGATCGGGGTTGTGCAGGAGGCAATCGATCGATGTGTCTTTCTCACATCGATGTTTCTCTCTCTCCTTCTCCCTCCCTCCCTCCCTTCCACTCTGTCCTCGGGTGAGGATTACAAAAAGTAGACATATATAGAACCCTACATATCTTCTCAAGTGAATGTGAAAACATTCACCTAGATTGATCATATTTTAGAGCATGAAGCAAGTCTCAACAAATTTTGAACAACTGATATCATACAGATTACAATGCATTGTTAGAAATTAGTAAAAAAAAGAAATGATAATTTAAAAAGTAAAACCATACATTTGGATATTTAAAAACCTATTTCTAATAACTCATAGTGAAAGAACAAATCATAGTGGAAATTTAAAAATACGTATAACTGAATGAATAGATGATATCAAATTTGTGGGATGAGCCTATACTAATACCTAGAAGGAACTATATGGTTTAAATACTCACCTTGAGAAATAAGAAAAACTAAATGATAGACTGTTCAACTCAGGAAGTTTAAAGAACAACAGAGTATTGTATGTAAAAAAAATTATTTTAGCCCTGGCCAGTTTGGCTCAGCAGTTGAGTGTCGAACTACAGACCAGAGAGTCCCGGGTTCAGTTCCCGCTAGGAGCACATACCACATACAAAAAAATTATTTTAATGATAAAGATAAGAGGACATAATAATACAAAAAGAGCCCTGGCCAGTTTGGCTCAGTGGTTAGAGTGTCGGCCCACGGACCAGAGAGTCCCGGGTTCAGTTTCCACTAAGGGCATGTACCTTGGTTGCAGTTTGTCTCAGGCCCCGGTTGGGGTCGTATGGGTGGCAACCACTCTATGTGTTTCTCTCACATCGATGTTTTTCTCTCTCTCTTCCTCCCTCTCTCCCTCCTGCTCTATCTGAAGATAAATGCAAAGGTGTCCTTGGGTGAGGAAAAATCAATCAATCAATCAATAAATCAATAAATAAATAATACTACTAATAATAATACAAAAAGAGGGGGTTAAAATACTAAAAAATGATTCTTTGAAAACTAACATGATAGACAAACCTGTGACAACTTTGATCGATATTAAGAACAACTTTATGCATTAAATTCAACATCAGAGAAAATAGGTAATTTTTCCAGAAAGATTTTCCTGTTTAAAACCAAACAGGAGCCCTGGCTGGTTTGGCTTAGTGGTTGGAGCGTTAGCCTGCAGACCAGAGTCCTGGTTCGGTTCCTGCTAGGGTCACATACCAAAAAAAAAGAAAGAAAGAAAGAAAACCAAACAGAAAAAAATCCTGTAGTTATGACAGAAAATGAATCAGTAGTTAAAAATCTACCAACAAAAACACCACCAAGCCCAGATAGTTTTACAGAGGGTGTCACCAAACATTCAAGGCACAGATAATTCCAATCTTACACAAACTCCTCCAGTGAAAATAGAGAGTTCTGTTTCCCAACTCACAGAATAAGGATTACATAAACTCATTAGCAAAATCTGATAAGGACTATACAAGAAATGAAACTCATAGGCTAGTCTCTCTCTTGAGCATAGATGCAAAAATCCTTTAAATAAAACTCTGTACTAAGATTAGCAACCAAACCCATAAATTTTGTATAATAATAATAGGAAACGGGCATGGCTATATAAGGGTAACACAAAGGATCCTTATGATGAAACTGTTCTGTATCTCGATTGTGGTAGAAGTCACACGAATCTATACAAATACAAATGCGTAGAATTAAATACACATAGAGAAATGAATACATATAAAGCTGGTGAAATCTGAATAAGGTGAGCTGTATCAACATCAATTTCCACATTATGATATTGTACTATAGTTAGGAAAGATGTACCACTGTATGTGAATCTGCAATCACTGTAGTGAATCTACAATTATTTCAAAATTAAAAGTTAAAAAATAGCCCGGCCTATCCAGCTGGTGTGGCTCAGTGGTTGAGCATCAACCCATGCACCAAGAGGTCACCAGTTCATTTCCAGCCAGGGTACATGCCCAATCCCCAGTGAGGGGCATGCAGGAGGCAGCAATCAATGTTCTCTCTCATTGATGTTTCTGTCTCTCTCTCCCTCTCCCTTCCTCTCTCTAAAAATCAATAAAGAAAAAAGATTTCTTAAAAAAGCCTGGGCAGTGTGGTTCAGTGGACTGAGTGACATCCTATTGACTGAGAGGTCCCGGTTTGATTCCTGGTCAGGCCACAAGCCCAGGTTGCAGGCTCAATCCCCAATAGGGGGTGTGCAGGAAGCAGCCAATCAATGTTTCTCTCTCACATCGATGTTTCCATCTCTCCCTCCCTTCCTCTCCCTCTAAATAAAATCAATAAAAACATTTTTTAAAAAGTTAACTTGACAAATAGCATCATTAAGGACCTACAGGAAGGGTGATAAATAATGGAAAATAGAAGCAATCAGAAGAGAACTTCCACAAGCTCAGCCCATCATCTACCCATCTACCTGCACCTGTGTTCACTCTGCCTTCTCCATTTCTGTGGATGAACTACCCATGCTTTTACCTACAACCAACCCTTCTTCTTGTTTACTAGAATCCCACCCCCTTTACTATAACCAAGTTTCCTCTTTCTCTTGCATCATCAATTTTCCCTTTTCTACTGGAAAATTCCCATTTGCATATCCATATAAAGTAACTTCTCCCATCTTAAAAAGAAAATAAACAGCCCTGACCGGTTTGGCTCAGTGGTTAGCATGTTAGCCCTAGGACCAAAAAGTCTCAAGTTCAATTCTGGTCAAGGGCACATACCTCAGTTGCAGTTCATCCCCAGCCCTTGTCGGGGTTGTGCGGGAGGCAACCAATCGATGTGTCTCTCTCACACTGATCCCCCCCCCCCCATCTGAAGATAAATGGGAAAATATCCTAAGGTGAGGATTTTAAAAAAACACAAAATAGCCCTGGCCAGTTTGGCTCAGCGGTTAGAGCGTCGGCCTGTAGTCCAGAGAGGCCCGGGTTCAGTTCCCGTTAAGGGCGTGTACCACGGTTGCAGTTTGTCCCCGGCCCTGGTTGGGTTGTGTGGGTGGCAGCCACTCGATGTGTCCCTTTCACGTGGATGTTTCTCTCTCTCTCTCTTCCTCTCTCCCTCTTACTCTATCTGAACAAAAAAAATGGAAAAATGTCCTTGGGTGAGGATAAAAACAAAACAAACAAAAAAAAACCACAAAATAAACAAAAAATCCTCTTGATCCCTTCTTTCTCTCCACTATCATCTCATTTCTCAGCTCCCTTCTACACCAAAACTCAAGAGTTGCCTGTGTTAACTATCCCGTATTGCTCTTATCCCGTTTCCTCTGGAACCCACTCCAATCAGGCTTTCACCCCACCCCTCTCCAAAATTCCTCTAGTCAGGATCTCCAATACTATGCATGTTACTAAATCCAATGGTCCATTCTCATGTACTACTATGGTGGAAGAACGGGGTGGGGTGGGGATGTGCAGAAAGAAATTCATAGCCCCTGCCCTTGAAAGGCATACTTGATAGAGGTAGCCATGCAATGAGTCCACTGAATGGAGGATCAGCAAAAGGAGCAATGGCCGGAGAGTCAGAGTAGCCAGGTCATAGAACTAATTCTGGCAGGAGGCTGTAGGATCTTGGTCAAGTCAATATAAACAGGGATGCTACTGCTACCTACTTCATAAGACTATCATATAGAATATTCGATGTGGCTCAGTGGTTGAGTGTCAATCCATGCACCAAGAAGTCACCAGTTTGATTAGGTCAGGGCACATGCCCAGGTTGTAGGCCTGATCCCTAGTGGGGGGCATGCAGGAGGCGACTAATCAATGTTCTCTCTTATTGATGTTTCTATCTCTCTCTCCCTCTCCCTTCCTCTCTCTCTAAAAATCAATAAAGAAAACAAAAATTTTTTTAAAGAATATTCAATGTAAAAGTCCCTAGGTTATTTGATAATTCTCATGCAGGGTACAAAACAATTGGATGGTAGAAAAATGCTACCCTTCCTGATCCCTTACCTGCCAAAAGGTCTTTACGCCCAGTGTGCTACTCTGCCCAGATGGTAAAACCAAAGCTCAGAGAAATCAGAAACCATCCTTCCTGGGCATCCAGCTTTGTGCTATAGCACAATGAGTTTGTGAGGTTGGGAAGGGACCCTAGACTGGTTCAAGACCCTAAGACTGGGGTCTTATCCTAGAAGAGGGCCCAGAGTAGAAGGCAAAGGAGAAGAATTACCTACCACTGCTCTCTGGTTCTTCCCTGGTAGGACCTCAGCCATGTACTTGGTGATGCCAGCACTCTGTAACTGCAGTCTCTCGCACTGGTCCACAATCTTGTTCTGCAATGTAAATGACACCTATTGTATCTTGATCCATGTTGATTCATTCACTCCATTCCATTGACTTTTTTTCTTTTTATCCCTCCTCCACCACCCACTCCCATGGTTATATACCAGATGTCATCCTTATTGAAAGCTACACCACCTCCAAAAATCTTCATTTCAAAGATCTCATACCCTGCCTACCACTTCTCACTCTTCTAGATCACTAACTCTAGAATTTCCATTCCAACGATTCTTCAGCTCAGGTGGAGCTGCCAGTATGTTAGTCTTACCTCTTTTCACTGTCCATCACCCCCTATCGTGGCCTCATTTCTCTCTTTATCCTGAAATCCCATGGCCCATTACGATAATCACTTTCCTGCATACACCCTTAATCTTCCTTCATACCCAGTTACCTGACTCTACATATGCACCTGAGCAAAAGAACATGGCTTCTCAACTGCCCTTCCCCAAGTATCCTCACTGCCATTCCTTAAATAGCACCATCAATCATCAACCTTATTACCTGCCCCCCGAAAAAAAACCAGCTCTTACTCTCCAACCTCACATCTAATCCATCAGTGAGTCCAGCAGCCCCATCTCCAAAGTCTCTCTCTTTCCTCTGGCCACCTTCATTCCTGCTGTTCTACCCAGATCATCTTATCTTTCATAGGAACCACTATTAGAACCTCCTAACTGGGCCTCCATTATTAAACCCCACAGTTAGACACTGCCATATTTTGTAAGGAAATCAGGTCACTGTCCCTGCTCAAAACTCTCCAATGACTTTCCAATACAACCAGAGATCAAGCTTCTTGCCTTAGCCAACAAGCCCTACCTGATGTGACTCCGCATATCTCCCTAATGTTACTTCCTACACTTTCTGCACTGGCCTTCTTTCTGTTTCACAAACTCACCAAATTTGTCCTGACCACAGTGCCTTTGCATCTGTTGTTTCTTCTGTCTCCAGCAGTCTTTTCCCATATTTCTCTATGCCTCACACCCCCATTTCATGCACATGTCACTTCTTCAGAAGCCTTCCCTGATGATCCACCCCATTCCCTTATTTTGCTTATTTTTCTCCCTTGTACTATCATTCTCTGACTGTATATTATGTTTACCTTTTTTGTGTCTTTTCCCCACCACTAGAACATAAGTACCCTGACTTTGACTTATTCTCTATGTCCCACTACCTAGAAAAGAGTTCCTACATACAGAAGACCCTGAATAAATATTTGTTGAATGAATGAAACCCATTTCCTTGACCACAACAAGTTCAGCAGTTTACAGCTCCTAAAGCTGTGAGCATCACTCATGCGAGCAGGGAAGAGTTTTATAAACGCAGCTAAGGCTCACCGAGAAGTAACTTGCCCAAGGAGATACGGCCAGGCCCCTGCTTTCCTCTCCATTTCTCCACATTAACAGTGGGAGCCTTCCAAGCAGCAGCCCCTCTACTCTTTCCCCTAAGAGCACTGCCCCAGTTCCATCTTCCAGAAGGCAATCAGCTGCCTCTTCTAGGAAGCCCCTGTAAGCCTCCTACACACACACACACACACACACACACACACACACACACACACACACACACACAACCAGGAATTAGCATTACCCTTCACCAAATCCAAACACACAGTTTTAGAACTGAGTTGATTGGGAGGTACCACGTACCACAGGACTGAGGGAACTGGGAATAGCTTCTGAAAAGCTACAGAGACAGGAATTCAGAAGGTAAGTAAAAAGTTGTTTGAACTGGTACTGTTTTTGCCCACTTCAGGAATAATCTTGCCCTGGAGTGAAATTTCCTTGCTGGCTAAAGGGGTAGGGGAAAGAGTGTAAAAAGCCTCACTCTAATCATCAAACAACAAGTGTTGGCTAGGGTGTGGAGAAAAGGGGACTCTAGTACACTGCTGGTGGGAATGCAGACTGGTGCAGCCACTATGGAAAACAATATGGTGTTACCTCAAAAAATTAAAATTGAACTTCCATTTGACCCAGTGATCCCACGTCTAGGAATATACCCTAAGAAGCCTGAAACACCAATCAGAAAGAATATATGTACCCCCTTGTTCATAGCAGTGCTATTTACAATAGCTAAGATCTGGAAACAGCCCAAATGTCCATCAGTAGACAATGGATAAAAAAGCAGTGGTACAGCCCTGGCCAGTTTGGCTCAGCGGTTAGAGAGTCGGCCTGCGGTCTGGAGAGAACCGGGTTCGGTTCCCGCTAAGGGCATGTACCTCGGTTGAAGTTTGTCCCTGGCCCTAGTTGGTCAAGCGGGTGGCAGCCACTCGATGTGTCCCTTTCACATCGATGTTTCTCTCTCTCTTCCTCTCTCTCCCTCCCACTCTACCTGAACAAAAAAATGGAAAAATATCCTCGGGTGAGGATTAAAAAAAAAAAAAAAAGCAGTGGTACATATATACAATGGAGTACTACGCAGCTGTAAGAAAGAAAGAGCTCTTATCCTTTGAGATGACATGGAGGGACCTGGAAAGTATTATCCTAAGCGAAACAAGCCAAGCAGAGAAAGACAAGTATCACATGATCTCACTTATTTGTGGAATATAATGAACATAACAGTCTGAGGAATGGGGTACAGACTGGCAATCCCCAGAAGAGGGGGTGGTGGGGAGAGATAAACCACAGAACTTACATGCATGTATGCATAACCAATGGACATGGACAACAAAGCTGGGGACAGGGCAGGGAGGGAGGGGATGGAGGGTGTCAATGGAGGAAAAAGGAGAAACATCTGTAACTAAAATAAATTAATAATAATAATAATAAAAAAGCCTCACTCTAATCAAAATTGGGGAGAGAAAGGGCAAGAAACACCTCTCTCTGGGCAAACAAGATGAATATACCTAGGGCCTCAGGAGGGTTCAGGGAAGGAGCCCCAGGCACAGTACATTTCAAAACAAGCATCAGGCCTGCCACCCTGCCCCAGCTTTTGTCCCTTCCACCATTCAAATTCAGCCCTGATGGCAACTTTTAAAAAAGGTTTTCATTCAATTCTCACTCTCATTAACATCACTTCCTCCCTCTAACCACCAAAGCGGGGAGCCGGTTTCCTCTGGTCTACAGTCAATGACTGCCCTGGTCCAGCCCTGAGCAGGAGAAACCTGGTAAGAGTTACTGTTTTGCTCTGGGCCTCAGTTTCCTCATCTCTAAGATGTAGGTAGGACCACCACTTCAAAGTGGCTTGGTCTGGATGGAATGAAATGATGACTATTTAAGTGCTTTGGAACTTGCAAAGTGTCTATACATTATGGAAGTTTATTATACCACGTCTTCCAAGTTTATTTTCATCATCCCTCTCCTGGAGAGTGGTGACAAGTAGGGCCAACCAGGAGCTTTCAGGCTGAATAACTGAGTCCCTGCTGGCCCCGGCACCCTTGTCAGAGGTGTTTATTACAGTCCAGTCTGAGGAGGCAAGTCTCCAGTGAGAGTCCTCAGCCTCATAGCTGGGCAGAACTCCAGGGAGAGGTTGGAAGAATCAAGCCTTTTAATCAAATTGCAAGGAAATCCCCAGGGGCCACACAGGTAGGGTGGAAGGAGGGAAGAAGCCCCAGGGTGATTTCAACTCCCCCAATCTCAGCAGTTCAAGAGGGGTGGTGACAGGAAGGTGACCAGCCTGAAGCCAAGTGGTTGGGGTGGGGAGAAACCCTAGGGGAGAGGCTCCAGCGTGGACCTCCGGATATATGACAGCCCCCTCCGTTCACCTAGGTGAAACCAACTCGAAGTACAGTCAAGGCCAATCCTGAAAGGGAAAAGAAATCACCTCACCAGGAAGCCAGAACAGTGGACAGGGGGTGGGGTTTTGAGCCCTGGGGCTGAGGAGTGAGAAGGGGCCGGGTGTTTTCAGAGATCAGCTTCCACCGGGTTGGTGGGAGTTGCAGCAGCTGAGCCCTTTATTGCCGGAGGCCAGACCCGGTTCCCGGGCTCTTCGACCGGGCAGCTGGGCAGCTGGACCCGCCACGTGACCCTATTACCGTATTTATATCGCACAATAAGAAGTGCTCGCGTTTATTGCTCCAAACTACAGGTGGGGACACTGAGTCTCAGAGGATTGAGATTCACAAGGAGGACAGACAGAGGTGACATTCGTACTCAGGTATGACTCCAGAGGCCACGCCCTGTAACCGCCTCGTTCTACAGTCAGTACGTCTGGGGAGCCTGTGCGGCTGGCCGGGCCCCGGGTCGGCTCGGTCCCCGCTCCCGCGCCTTCCCGCGCCCACGCCCGCGCGCCCGCGCCCGCTCACCCGCAGCTCCTCTGCGCGCTCCTCCGCGGGGCGGACGCGGTGTCCCTGGCAGCGGCCGCCCAGCTCCGCACAGGCGGCGCACACCGGCCGTCGCTCGGAGCAGCAGAACCACTTCAGAGCCTGGCCGTGCTCCGGGCAGAGAGGCCCGGGCCCAGGTCCCGGTCCCGGTCCCGCGCTCTCCGCTGACATGGCCGAGTGACCGCCCGGCGCCACACGCACCACCTGTCGCAGGTGGCTGCTGGGCGGGGCCTCTCTGACCCCGCCCCCGGCCCCCACTGGAGGCCACCGCTCTGCCTCCCGCCCGGTTCTCGCTGCTCCTGGGGCGCCCGCCCCGCACCCTCGACCGGACCCTGGCCCAGATCCCACTCTCTTCAGCAGTCTTTTAAAGTTTCTTTCTTTCTTTTTCTTTCTTTCTTAGTAGCGTTATATGCGTGTTTGTTTTAAATATAAAGCACCAAGTATTAATGTGACCGTAGGAAACTTAATTGAGCCTTTATAAGCACCAGGCTTTTGCTAAGTGTTCTGTCATGTACCACAACAGCCTGTTTTAAGAGGCAGCTTTAGAAAAGTACTACCTTAAACCTAGGTTCTGGTATCAGACGGTCTGGGATCCAGTCCCATGTAACTGCCCACTAGCTAAGTACCCTCCAAGGCCTCAGCTGTCAAATGGGCATAAGGAGGATGCCTACCTCACAGACTTGTGCTGAGGATTAAATGAGTTAAAACACTGGAAAAGTATCTGGAGGACAGACAGAGGCTGCAACTGCTAAGCATCTGCTGTTAGTACAAGGAAAGTATAAAAATCCCCATTTTTATGGAGGTTAAGGAACTTGCCAGGAGTCAGTTATTAATTGGTAGCAATGAGATTGGAACCCAGACAGTTTGACTTATGGTTAACATGATTAATAATTTTTAATTGCATATGAATGCCCAGTAAGGAACATCTTTGTTAGACTGATTTCCCCAAAGTATTTGCATCCAAAATTTCTTAATTTGAAAATTTTAAAAATTAATATTAAAAAATTTAATGCATGTTTATTAAAGAAAATAGACTGTGCAAATAAGCACGTGGATGAAGAACCCATCCCTGTGTACCTGAGCTGTCTTGGGGCATTTTTTCTTAGGATCTGAAAAGTCAATCTAAGCCCAAATTGAATCCTCTGCTGGGGCTCCAGTCTAGTCCATCTGGACACACAAAAAGAACGCTGGTCCCCACCCCCACACTCCATCTTAGGGTGGTTTGGCAGAGGACTGAGGAAGAACTCAGCCAAAGGGAAAAGGAGCCAGGCCTTGGGTGTCAGAGGATATTCTGAGTTTATCAGAACTGGACACTGAGAGCAAAATCAGAAAGAGAAGCATCACTACATCCTGAGGCATTTTGGGTGCCACTCAAGCACCCGTCTTTGCCCCGAGGCACCTCTAAACTACCATTACACAAAGGGAGGAGAACCCTTCCCTTCTCTCAGCCCCTACAGTTTCAGCCCAAGAGTAAGGGTAGCTACCAGCCCCAGAGCTATGCCTCTTACAGCTATGGGACCTTGGTCAGATTATTTAGTCCTGGCTGTGTCTAGTTTCCTCATCTCTAAATGGGGGTGATAATAGAATCTATGTCTGAGGGTTACTTCCAGAATTAATGAGATCTTGTCCACAAAAATCTGTTAGCTTGAGTGTATGGCATACACTTACGGGCTAATAAATGTTTTATTATAGGCGTGAGGATCAATAAACATACTTGTGCCCTGGCCAGGTAACTCAGTTGGTTAGAGCTTTGTCCTGATATGCCAAGGTTGTTTGTTCATTTCCTGGTCAGAGCACATATGTTTCTCTGTCTCTGTCTCTCTAAAATCAATCAATAAAAAAATCTTAATGAAAAAAATATATACTTGGCCCAGCCGGTGTGGTTCAGTGGATTGAGGGTCGTCCCCTGGACTGGGAGGTCCTGGTTCAATTCCCGATCAGGCAGGCACTTGCCTAGGTTGCGGGCTTGATCCCCAGCAGGATCAGTGTTTCTCTCTGACATCGATGTTTCTATCTCTCTCTTCCTTTCTCTCTCTCAAAAAAAATCAATAAAGTCCGGCCGGTGTGACTCAGTGGTTGAGCATCGACCCATGCACCAAGAGGTCGCAAGTTCGATTTCCGGTCAGGGCGCATGCCCAGCTTGTGGGCCTGATTCCTAGTGGGGGGCATGCAGGAGGTGGCCATTCGATGTTCTCTCTCATTGATGTTTCTATCTCTCCTCATTTCCTCTCTCTCTAAAAATCTATAAAGAAAAAAAAAATTGTTTAAAGTCAATAAATAAAAATAAGAATATATTTTTTAAAAAGAAAACATACAGATTTGTAGCAGGTTTTCAGAATGTAAATTGTGTGATATTCTTTGGTGCGTGTGTGTGTGTGGGGGGTGCAATGTTCTTGGCATCAAAAGAAGTTTCTAGTGCAATCCCAGTGGAAGGGTGAAGACCTCATAACAGCATTTACCCTCTTATAGGGGTGGGAAAGGAAATGAGCCACTATCATTAGAGACTGTGGTTAGAATTTTTTGTTCTAGCCCTGGCTGGTTTGGCTCAGCGGTAGAGCATTAGCCCATGGACCAATGACATGCAGGTTCAATTCCGGCCAAGGGCATGTACCTCGGTTATGGTTCGTCCAGGTCCTGGTCAGGGACTTGCAGGAAGCAACCAATCGATGTGGGCACCCAGTGGATGTGTCCTTCTCACATCGATGTTTCTCCCTTTTTCTCCCTCTCTCTCTCCCACTCTGACGATAAATAGAAAAAGATCCTCAGGTGAGGATTAAGAAGAAAGAAAAAAAAGAATTCTTTGTTCTAAGGGCTGGGGTGGGGAGGGCTATTAACCCCTATTATAAGAACAAAAAAAACCCAGAAGGTGACTTTGTGTGAAGGGAAAGAGACTGGAGGGCAGGGAGAGGAAGAAGGGGTGTGGCCCTAGAGCAGTCAGTGGTCCTGGGAGGGCTGGAGTCAGGAAAGCAGCAAAATTACCAGAAGTTCTTCCAGGCAGAGGGACTAGAGAATGCAAGGGACTTATGTGATTTATTATTAAAAAATAAATAGATTTTGGAATAATCAGTCCCACTATTCAGGGGCTGAGTTAGGCTGGAATTCAATTCAGCCCCTTTGCTTAATGTGTATCAGGCCTTGCCCAACACATGTCCCTACAGGAGGCCTCAGGACACTGGTAAACTCCTAAGTGGAGACTCTCACACTTTATCAGGCTTCAGGATCACCTGGGGTGGCTGGGGAGAGGGGCTGTGAAGCATGCAGGATTTCCAGTAAGTTTCTCATTCACTAAGTCTGAGGTGGAGCTAGGACTCTGCATTTGTAACAGCTACACTGAGACTAGGATACAAATGAGACCTCTGACTACTCCTACAAATGCTGGCAGTGACCACCCATTAGTAGGTGGCAAAACCAATTCAAGGGGTGGAGATCAGCATCTTAAAAATAAGAAAAGAAAGAAAAAATAGAAAACGTGTTCACAATAAGGGTTGTTTGTTGCAGTTAAACATAGTACATATACATGTATGAGCAGTGGGGATTGAATGTATTTCTTCCTGAGGGTCAGAGTCAAAAAAGTTTGAAAGCCGCTGCTCTAAGGTGACCTCTGGAACGTTGTTGAGAGTGGAGAGGGCTGTACTGTACTTGAACTTTAGGGCTTGCCTAGGCAGGACACTCTGAGCTAGGGAGAGAATAATAGACATCTTTGTTACATTTTAGTCATTCAGTAGATTTATTGAGCACCTACCTATTTCCCAGGTCGTATTTAAGACAATGAGAATATAACTATAAAGAAGAACAAAGTCTACTCTCCTGGACAAATAAAACAAATAGAAACGTAACGTCAGTAAGTGATAAGAGATAGGAAAACGACTCAGGCAGAATAGGAAAGGGAGCTAGCTGGATGGAGGTGCTGATCTGGGAGGTCTCTGTGAGGAGTGGAGCTGGGAGCATGCCCTGGGTAAACACAGCAAGCCACCTGCAGAATATCTAGGGGAGGAACTTTCCAGACAGAAGGACCAGCAGAGGTAAAATGTCTTTTTATGCCATGAACTCTGCTCTCTGCTCCCCCCTCACCAAAGAAATAGGCACAATTTACATTCTGAAAAAGGTGCTACTTGTATATTTACACACCCTCACATGATAAAATATTCATTAGTATTTATTTTTATAAAATTGGAATTATCTGTAAATTCTGCTCTGTAGCCTGCCTTTTCACTTGCTCATTTATGACATTTGGTTTTGGACTTTTTTTTTTTTTTTTAACTTTTTGGTAACGAGCATTTGGGGAAGTCTATTGAAAAGAACTGTTCTTTCCTGGTCTTTACTATCTCTTAGGCCTGCTATTCAATTTTGTCTGCCTGCCTGGCGGGGGCCCTGGTCTATTAGTGGCCCCGCTTCACCGGGTCCCCTGGTCTCTTTTCTCTTCAGACCCAGATCCAGCCCATGTCTCTGGTGTCAAGGCTAGAAGTCATCTGACTGGGGTTTGCACAGTTTCTAGGAGTGACAGGAAGACTTGCCACAATGCTGTGGCTTCTTTCCTCCTGTGAAGTTTTCACAGCACAACCAACATCAACTGTCACCTTTAAGAAGAACTTGGCAGTCTGCCAGTGCAGACAAACTCAGCCTACATGAGTCCCATGTGAAGTCCAGGTCCCCAAGGAGAGAGTGTCCTTTCTGCTCTGGTCAGACCAGATCAGACCAGATGAGACCAGATCTCATCTCCAGAGGGCTTTTAGGACCAGTACACTTCAGAGGACGAACTATATCAAATTGAGCAAGTCCAGGAGAGAAAAATCAGTTCAGGCATTAAAGAGCCATGAACTAGGATTATATTTATATAAGGCAGAATTGGAGGCATTGGTAGTGTTAGGCTGAGGGGATGAAATGTGAAGGGAAGGAGGGAGTACATGAAATTATGTTGCTTACACCCATAGCATTCTGTCTTGTGTCTTAATTGGCTACTCATGACTGTCTTCCCCTTTCATTCTTTTTTTTTTTTTTATCCTCACCCGAGGATATTTTTCCATTTTTTTGTACAGATAGAGTGGGAGGGAGAGAGAGGAAGAGAGAGAGAGAGAAACATCGACGTGAAGGGACACATCGAGTGGCTGCCACCCGCACGACCAACCAGGGCCGGGGACAAACTGCAACCGAGGTACGTGCCCTTAGCGGGAACCGAACCCGGGTCTCTCTGGACCGCAGGCCGACGCTCTAACCGCTGAGCCAAACCGGCCAGGGCCCCTTTCATTCTTTATTCAAAAATATTCATTGAGTTCTGGCCGGTTTGGCCTAGCGATTAGAACATCGGCCTGCAGACCAAAGAGTCTCGGGTTCAATTCTGGTCAAGGGCACGTACCTCAGTTGCGGTTCATCCCTGGACCTGCTCGGGGTCACCAGTCGATGTGTCCCTCTCATGTTAATGTTTCTCTCTTTCTCCCTTTCTCTCCTCCCACTCTATCTGAAGATAAATGGAAAAATATTCTCAGGTGAGGATTAAAAAAATATATATATATATACTCATTGAAAATCTACCATGGCCCTGGCCGGTTTGGCTCAGCGGTTGGAGCGTCGGCCTGCGGTTCAGAGAGACCCGGGTTCGGTTCCCGCTAAGGGCACATATCTCGGTTGCAGTTTGTCCCCGGCCCTGGTTGGTCGTGCGGGTGGCAGCCACTCGATGTGTCCCTTCCCATCGATGTTTCTCTCTCTCTCTCTCTTCCTCTCTCTCCCTCCCGCTCTATCTGAACAAAAAATGGAAAAATGTCCTCGGGTGAGGATAAAAAAAAAAAAGAAAATCTACTATGTGGTAGACCTGTGCTGTCTAATGCCATAGCCCCTAGCCACATGTGGCTACTTAAATTTTAAGTTAAGTCCAGCTGGTGTGGCTCAGTGGTTGAGCATTGACCCATGCACCAGGAGGTCACCGGTTCGATTCCCGGTCAGAACACATGCCCAGGTTGTGGGCCCGATCCCCAGTGGGGCATGCAGGAGATGGCCAGTCAATGTTCTCTCTCATCGGTGTTTTTCTCTCTCCCTCTCACTTCCTCTCTCTCTAAAATCAATAAAGGAAAAACATTTTTTCTTAATTTAAAGTTAAAATTAAATACAACTTAAAATTCAGTTCTTTGATTGCACTGGTAACATTTCAGGTGTTCAATAGCCACATGTGGCTTGCAGTTAGCATATTGGACAGAGCAGACATAGAACAGTTCCATCATAGTAGAATGTTCTATGTGCTATGCTAGACCCTACGATAGACACCAGCGATAAATACAGGTGTAAGTAAGATTCATTCACTGCCCACATGGAGCTCACCAGCAAGTGAGAGAGACAAATTAATGAAAAATCACGCTATGTTGGGGAAAGTGTGAGGGGTTTTGGAAGCACAAAGGAAGGGTAGCTAATTCAGTCTGGAGGAGGAAGAGAGGGTGAAGTTACAAATGACTCCTAGAGCCTTGCCATGGTTGAATGGTGAAGGGCAGTGCCCCTGCACTCAGAAAGAAAAGAGGAAGAACAGGTTTAGGGGGAAGATAATGTTTCGAGTGTGAGTCAAGTCAAGGATGAGTTGTCTTTTACATAGCCAGGTGGAGATGGGAAGGAAGCAGGTAGATATACAGGTCTGGGAGAAGTCTGGCTAGAGATACCAGTTTGGAAGTCTCAGGTGCCTTGAACCTAAAGCACATTGGGGGAGGGGGTGCTACATCCCAATGGCTGAAGCATCTTGAAGGCAGGGATCTGTATGTCAACTGTTGCTGCACTGAGCCTAGCCCCAGGGCAAAGCAATCAGTTTCTCCTGGCTGAAGGTTGCCAGGCTGTTATGAGGAAGAGGGACTAGATTTATAGGGAGAGCCCTCAGTTCTGAACTAAGATCAGTGTTGCAAGTGGTATGGGAGTAGATTCCAGCTCCTGACAAAGAAAGTCTAACAATAAGCCACTGACTCAGACAGTAATGAGTGCATCATCAAGGGAGTGTCAACAAGGGCTAGAGGAACCCCATTAGGTATGCTGTGGACGGGACTCCTTCTCTGGGGAAGATGGACCCAATCGCCAGCCTTGATATTCTATAAAGGAAAAATTCCCTCACCAGCCCCATCCCCATATCCACAGGCACCTAACTTTCAGAAACTTCACAAACTTTCATTAAAGGCAGTTTTTCTGGGAGATCAGCACTGCAGGAGGCACCTGCTAGGGTGCAAAAAAATGTTAGCTAGGATCTCTGTGTTCATTCCATTCGTTCACGCATTCATTCATTCAACAAACATTCAACGATCCACTGCTGTATACCAAACCCTGTGCTATGTGCTAGGAATATGAACTCTAGTCTGAAAGCAATGCGATTGCAGCTGCAAAAACTGTCTTGTGGCTGCTGTTGATTTCCGGCACTGGCTTACCTTTGGATCTCAAGAAGGTACTGAGAGATCTCTTCGCTATGGTGGTGGGCCGTAAAGGTTTGATGAAAGAAAGAATGAAATGTATAAGGAAATGAGGGACCTGGGGAAGTGTCCAAAGGAGGGCTCTCTGTCTGGGTGGAGTCAGGGAAAACTCCAAAGAAATAAAGGAACACCTCAATCTGGGCGAATAACAATGGAAACGGTGACATTTATTAAGGGTTTTCTCCGTGACTCCTACGGTGGTACCTGCTTTCCTTGCATTATATAGATTCTCTGGCAGTGTGGTCTCGGGCACATCTGGCCTCTTCTCGGGAACCTCATCAAGGTATTGTTACAGTAAGAAAGCAGGGCGGGGCGCTCTCGGCTGGGCCCCTAGGAGATCTCAGGCGAGCGGAACCGCAGCTCAGCAGCCGGCGAGGCAGTCCGGAGGCTTTTAGCCCGAACCCCCATCCTAGCGACGCACGCCTCGTTGCTAAGGGCCGGGGCAAGGGAGGCGGTACAGTGCGGGGGTGGCCGACGCCCTACGGCTCCGCGCCTCCGCTGGCCTCAGCTTCCACTGGGCAGCCGGCCAATGGGTATGGAGTCCCGGGGTGGAGGGAAGGAAGGGGCTCAGGGGGCGGGCGGAAACGTGGTAGCCCTCGCGCCCTCCGGACCGCAGGCGCCCACCTGGCTGAAGCGAGGAGAGAATTCCGAGGGCGGGGCTTGGGTTGGGTGGTGCAGGATTCCCGTCTTGGCCGTCCCCAGGCCCCTTTCCCCACAAGCACACAACAAAAATAAGGTTTGGCCGTCCGCATGGAACTTGGTGAGGGACGTTTATGATCTGAAGAGCCAGAAAGGAAAAACTGCACACAGGTTGTCCTCAGAGCTTGGGACACCTTGGGATTCTGGCCCTAGTACTGACTTCCCGTGTGAATCTGGGCAAGACCCTCTTATTCTGTGGGCCCGGGTTTCCTCTATTTGTACTATTAGAGGGTTGAATCAGACCATCGTCCACGTGCTTCTACCGTGATTTTGTGTTTGAGCTTTGGTCTACATGCCTTGGTCTGCCAGAGTGTAGGTTAGATATGGAAGATATGGTTTCAGAGGAAGATAAGGCCAGAGAGGGGGCAATATGAAATCAGCATTTACGTGAACAGTGGAGGAAGAGTCTAAGGAAATGAGGTTCGGTTCCCCAGCTCTGCCCCTGTGTGACCTTTAGCAAGACACAACCGTCTGAGTCCCTGTTTCTTCGTGGAAAGTAATAGTTGGAGATATGCAAAAGTATATCAAGGAATATGGCACTAGAGAGCTAAAAAAAAAGAGAATTCTCTGAGTTATGTTTAGGGTGACCACTGGGTATCTCAGGGTGTTTGGAAAGCAAATTGGGGCAGAAATGGATCCTGGGATTCAGATTTAGGCCCAGTTCCATCAGGAACCAACAAGGAAAGCCAGAGCCATAACAGTTTATGGCTTTCCCAAGTTCTTGCCGGCCTGAAACTGGATGGGGCAGGGTAACTGCTCCTGAAGGATTTGCCTTCCGGCAATTTTAAAGGACCCTTATATTGTAGGGTCCTTAAAAATCTTTTTGCAGACTCTTCCCCTTAGTATGCCATTCATTCGTTTGTTCATTCATTCAACAGATAATCACCTTGCATCCATTATTCCAGGTTATGCTTAAAGCACAGATATAAAAATGAGGAAGATATTATCCCTTCTCTCAAATACGTTACATGTTCACAATATAAATAGTGGAAGATAACTGAATAGTATTTTCATTTCTAAAATTGGTCAATTCATAGTAAATTACAACATGGACATTATGCAAGTACATATACTTTGTTTTTGTGTATTAAGAGCAGTAGTAATAAGGATGAAATTGCTACTTTAAGTATTGCTATCAATCATGTAGTAGCCCAGGTTTGGGCTATCAACGGTTTGCCAGGTTGAACTGAGGGCTTTATATGCATTACCTATTTTTTTAAATTTTTTTCTTTATTGATTTTAGAGAGAGAGGAAAGGAGAGGGAGAGAGAGATAGAAACATTGATGAGAGAGGACATCGATTGGCCACCTCCTGCATGTCCCCACTGGGGTTTTGGTCCACATCCTGGGTATGTGCCCTGACAGGGAATTGAACTGGCAAACTCTTGGTGCATGGGTCGACACTCAACCACTGAGCCACACCAGCCGGGTGCATTACCTTTTGTAGAGATGCTGTACAGTATGCTGGTCAAGAGCAAGACCTCTGGAGTCAGACTACCTCGATTCAGGTTTCAGCTCTGCCACTTATTTGCAACTTATTTGTAAACTTGGGCAAGTTATTTAACATCTCTATGCTTCACTTTTCTCATCTGCAAAATGAGGAGAACACCTATTTTAGAGGCTTGTGGAATAGATTAAAGAAGTTAATAAGTATAAAGCACTTAAAATAGTCCTTGGTACATCTTTTTTTTTTATTATTGCTTTTTCTTTATTGTTTTTTTTGTGTGTGTGTGTGGTTTTTTTCTTTTGAGAGAGAGGAAGGGAGAAGGAGAGAGAAATAGAAACATTTATGAGAGAGAACATCTATTGGTCTCCTCCTGCATGCCCCTACTGGGGACTTGGCCCACAACCTGGGCATGTGCCCTCACCAGGAATTGAACTGGCAACCTCTTTGTTCATGGGTCGACACTCAACCACTTAGCCACATTGGCTGGACTCATTAGCACATCTTAAGTGTTATTTTTAGTCTTCACAGAAGCCCAAATGTAGAGGTCTTATCCCATTTTACACATAGGAAACTGAGACTTCAACAAGTTGCCCAAGGCCAGAGTAAAACTATAATTCAGACCTAGCTCTAAAAACAATGCCAGTGCACTCAGTCAAATGTTCTGACTCTTCTGTGCTGCACTTAATTCTTAGAGTAAGCTTCACTGTCAATCGATAATTAGAATTTATTTATTTGAATCCTTAGAGTGGAGTTGCTAAAATGCAATAAAACTAGTTTCTTCTTTGTAGATGTTTATAATGGAAATTCTAGACTAGAAGTCAAGAAGTCTACCTAGTTATAATTTTGAGTAAATAATGTTTCTGTCCTCATTCTCCAGATCTTTAAATAAAGGGTTTTTATGTCATTTTGAAAAGTTCTTTCATCTAAAATTCTATGAATCATACTTATTAAAGTATTATTTTAAACAGGAGAAATTGCCTTTCTCACAAAAACAGTAAGCTCTGAAGTAAGCAGTCACCTCGGAAGATTTTTTTTTTTTTTTTTTTTTTTTGGTACGTGCCCCTAGCGGGAACCAAACCCAGGACTCTGGTCCGCAGGCCGATACTCCAACTGCTGAGCCAAATTTGATGAACTGTAAGTAAAATAAAAATGTTTAATGGTGCATTTAAAATATATCCAATTTTGCATATTTAAAGAGGTGTATGATTAACATTATGGTATACCTTCCCTAAAAATCTTATGATTTTTGCCGTGGCTGGTTTGGCTGAGCAGTTGGAGCTTCAGCCTGCGGACCAGTGAGTCCCAGGTTTGGTTCTTGCTAGGGGCACATACCAAAAAAAATGTTGTGATTTTGTAAGATCTCTTTCTTTGTGAGGGAAAACTACACTTAAGATCTCTTTAATTAACAAGGTCCTTAATTTACCTCGTAAATATCCTTTCAGTGCAAACATATGCTTAGACAGAGAAGAGATTTAGTTAAGCATCTTTTTACTAATTACAGAGATTAGGAAGTGGCTGCCTGAAGTATTTTCCAAAGGATAAACATTACAAAGTATTGGATACACCAGTTCACCAAGAAGATCCTATTGGTTTGGGGTAAGTAACTCTAAAAGTTATGTTTTTCCTTGGAATGTTCCATGAATATTCTTCAGGTGGAAGATATGGGTCTCTGAAGACAGCAGCTAAGAATCTAATCAGTTCTAAGCAGAGCCAGTCCATTTATAGCATTTGCAGTTTCCAGTGACCTAGATCTATGAATGGCATCTGTCCTTAGTTTGATGACAATGTTGAAAGTGGGTTAGGCTGGCAGAGAGGACACCTTGCAACCTCTATCAATCAACAAATAATCCAACATCCCAAGCTTTTTGCAAGCTATCCTGGAATTTTTCTGCCAGTACATCTTGTACTTATTATAGAGAACTCTAGAATGTCTGAATTGGAAGGGACCTTAGATTCACTACTTCACAAATGTTTTATCACACTGTGCAATCCACTTAAGGTACAAAGATGGATATGACAGAGTCCTTCCTCTTAGGGAGCACATAGTCTTCTAAAAATCATTTAATCTGATGTCATATTTTATAGATGGGGAGGCTGAGGGGTAGTGTGGGGAATGGAGGAACTCAGATACACAGTGAGATGCGGCAGAGCTGGGGCTAGAGCCCAGGGCTCTTAACGCCACACACACTGTTCTTTCCGTTGCATTATGCTCCTATACTGGTTACCAGCTCTTTCCAGGAGGTCAATTCTGACAGCTTCTCAAATGTAGGCTAAAATTCTTCTGGAAAACTTTGTTTGTTAATGGTAATGAGATGATTGAGAATACTTGGTGAGTTTTAGCTGCTGTCTCCTTGTAGGATCTTCTAACTGGGTCGTTGTGCTCATAAGAAATTTACCTCCCAACTTCTTTAAGCAGAACCCCAGAAGAGATGGAGACTGGGTACTCCCACCTCCCCAATTACTTCCCTTTGCCCTCTGGCGTCTCAGGGAACAGCTAGTTGCAGAGGACAACAGAGTAGCTGAGATTAGCCCCTAGTCATATACCTTTAGTTCCAGCAAATGTCCACGGTGGCTACATCTTCTGGTTCTCTCTCTCCCTTTTCTGCCTCTGTTTAACCAGTATATAACCTACACAAATTAGTTGCTTAGGAGGTGTTTCTCGAATGAGTGTATGGATGAGCATCTGTCTTTCTAATTATAGCCTTGTTAGTGTTGGGGGCAACACAAGTAAATTACTGTCACTTAGTAATTTTTCATTCTAATAAGTATATTATCCATTATTGACATTATTTAAGTTCTAGGTCAGTGGTTCTCAAACTTTTTGACGTCAGGACTCCCTTTCACTCTTAAAAATTAGTGGGGACTTCAAAGAGCTTCCATATTAGTTCTGTTTTATCTGCTAATGCTTTATTGTAGGGTGCGTTCCCAGGGCCATGAGTGCGACAGGGAAAGGGGGAAAAGCAGAGGCATACAATTAGTCTTTTTCAAAAAACGGATATGTTGCGGGTTTTTTTCCCCTTCTTTTCTTCTTTCTTACATTTTTTCATTGATTTTTCTTCTTTTACTTGAAATAAATAGGGTTTTTTCTCCTAAAACAAAAACAAAAACAAAAATAAAAAAAAGGGATATGTTGCCCTGGCTGGTTTGGCTCAGCGGTAGAGTGTTAGCGCGCTGACCAATGAGTTGCGGGTTCAATTCCAGTCAAGGGCACATATCTCTGTTGCAGTTTGTCCTCGACCCTGACTGGGGTCATGCGGGAAGCAACCAGTCGATGTGTCCCTTTCACGTAGATGTTTCTCTCTCTCTTTCTCTCCCTCTTTCTCTCCTTCCCTCCCACTCTATCTGAAGGTAAATGGAAAAATATCCTCAGGTGAGTATTTGAAAAATGATTGATTATGTTTTTATATCACTATTATGGGGGCAGAACAAACTTTACTCTCTTGGTTCACTTGGCTGGTCTCAATCAGATAGACATGACACAGATTAATAAGAGAAAGAAACCAAATTTAATACATACATATGTATGGGAACCTCGCATACACGAGAGATTCAGGGACTCCACATGCATGGGAGGTTCAGAGAAAGAAAGGAGGATCAGGTATATAAGATATCCTGAGCTAGGGGTGAGCTACTGCACCTTGGAAGCTTCAAGGGTCATTGAAGGATAATAAGGGGAGCGGATGTTTAGTAAATGAAGGTTTGCCCTGGGTCAAAAAGGTTATTGCTAATAATACCTTACTATGGTCAAGGCCCCTACTTCAAATTCTAGGTAGTTAGCCCTGGCCGGTTTGGCTCAGCGGTTAGAGCGTCGGCCTGTGGTCCTGAGAGACCCGGGTTCGGTTCCCGCTAAGGGCACGTACCTCGGTTGCAGTTTGTCCCCGGCCCTGGTTGGTTGTGCGGGTGGCAGCCACTCGATGTGTCCCTTCACATCGATGTTTCTCTCTCTCTCTGTTCCTCTCTCTCTCTCCCACTCTACCTGAACAAAAAAAAAAAAAAAAAAAAGAACAACAAATTCTAGGTAGTTAAGGGGGGCAGTGGAGAAGTTTTTCTGGAGCTTGAAGCTAAAATTGCCTTTAGCTCAAAACAATCTACAGACCACAGAAGCACATCTTGGAGTGGCTCATTCTGAACCCCCACACCATACTGCCATCATTGTGTCTAACAAAACTAACAGTATGTGTTGTTCTTTTCACTGAACAAGGAGCACAACTTCCAGCAGCCATAAGGGATGCTGCTTCTTGGAGGCCATCTGAAGCGAGCTCCTCCTCAGAAGATTTTGTGTGGGTTCTGTGCCATGATGGGGAAACTGCAAAGCAAACTCAGACACAGCACTTACAAGTACAGGTACAACATGCCTACCTTGTGATCCCACGTTTTATCATGCCCCGTTAAAATTCTCCACTAAAGAAAGAGAAGGCCCAGAGTAAATATTGATAACCTACCTTCCCAAACTGTCAGTCTGCTCTGTTTTCTTTTGGATGAGAAACAATCGGCCTGGTAGCTAGTGTCTGCAGCCACACAGAGAGGTGCCCTACATCTTTTGGAATCATCTCTAGAGTGAATAAAGACTCCTGGCTTCTTGGCTTCAGGATTCCCCTTTATCAGATTCAGTCATTCTGAGCATCTACAGAGTTAATAATACCACTTGTGGCAATGCCGGTGGGTCTCCTTTTCCATCTGTCTCCTCTGCCTGGCCTGAATTGCTACCTTCGCTCACACTCTCCTTCCCCTGGCTCCACTTGCACCCCCATATCATTGGGCCTCTCATTCTCCGTCCTCTCTTTAGCAGGCCTGATGCAATTAGAGAAGAGAGAATTCAAACTACAGCTTTCCCCGAGTATAGCCCAGCTCACGTGGATACCGTCTCTGTTGTTGCTGCTCTGAACTCGGACCTTTGTGTCTCCGGAGGAAAAGATAAGGTGGGATTTACAGTACTTCCCAGGGAACCAACTTATTGCAGAGAAAGGAAGATGTTTGGGAAGCAAGCGCTGGCTTTTCATTTCTGGCAGCAGTGTTGGGTAGTGTACAAATATGGTTTTAGAATCAGAAAGACTAGGTTTAAACACCTTCTCTGCCACTTCCTAGTACTTTGAGCAATTCTTTTAATTTCCTTGAGCTTCAGTCTCTTTACTAAGTGGGGATAGTAATGCCAAACTCACAGGACAGTTGTGAGGATTAAATGGTAAGATCCTTAGCACTGTGCGACCCACATGCTTCTTATAAGTGACAAGTGTTATTATTCCAGCCAATCCATTTTTACACCTACACACAGACACAGGAGTTATTTGTCAACAAAAGGAGCCTCCTAGTCTCTTCTTTTATGCTACTCTTTTGCCAAAATCTCTACATGGGTGTGTATTGTGATTCCTCCCTTCTCTGTTTTTGTGCTTCCTCCTCGTCACTTTGTCTTTTTTTTTAATATGGTTTTATTGATTTTTTTAGAGAGAGAGGAAGGGAGAGAGAGAGAGAACCATCAATGTGAGAAACATCGATGGACTGCCTCTTGCATACCCCCTACTGGGGATCAAGCCTGCAACCCTGGCGCGTGCCCTGCCGGGGGTATTGAACCGGGACCTCTCAGTCCATGGAACGATGCTCAATCCACTGAGCCACACTGGCCAAGCTTTCAAAAAAAAAAAAAAAATCTCCCCCTCTCACTTTGAATCTGATTGCTTTCTCTCCCTCATATTTGGATCTATCATAGCACTTACAGACTTACAGCTAGGATATTGGTAGCAAAAATGTTGATTCTTTAAAAAAAAATTTTTTTTTTTTAGATAGAGGAAGGGAGAGGGAGAGGGAGATAGAAACATCGATGAGAGAGAACATCGACCGGCCGCCTCCTGCATGCCCCCCCACTGGAGATTGGACCCACAACCTGGGCATGTGCCCTGACCGGGAATTGAACCGGTGACCTCTTGGTGCATGGGTCGATGCTCAACCAGGGAGCCACACCAGCCAGGCAAAAAAAAATGTTGATTCTTTTGTGGTAAATAATGTCTCTCATTTTGAACAGCCTTTTAGAATCTTCAGATTTTATTTCACACTGATTTTACTGACTTTCAGATACATACATTTTCACATTTTTTTAACACCCCTGAAATCAGTATGCATTTGAAAAGTGATAATAAAGCATAATTTAATTGGCAGCATTTTGTCTTAAAAACTTTATCAACTTAGACATGAAATTTTATTTATATGAGCCTCACTTGTGAAGAATAGATGGGCAAGGGTTAGCATCTCCATTTTGCAGATTAAAATCTCAGATTTTAACACTGGCCAGTTTTGCTCAGTAGTCAGAGTGTCAGCCTGAAGACCAAAGGATCATGGGTTCCATTCCCGGTCAAGGGCAGGTTCCATCCCTGGCCTCGACTAGGGTCATGCAGGAGGCAACCAATCCATGTGTCTCTCTCACATTGATGTTTCTCTCTCTCTCCCTCCCTCCCTCCCTCTATCTCTTTCTTCCACCCTATCTAAAAATCAATGGAAAAATAACCTCGAGGATTAACAACAACAAAATTTTGGATTTAGGTCAAGTGCTAACATGCTCCTTACTCTCTAGCAATGAACTGCAGAGACGGGGTCAGAAAATGCTTTTGAAATCTCGTTTTAGGGGGAGAAATGCTTACAGCAAAATATTAAAGTGTATACCTGGGAAAAAAATGGAAAGAAAATTTTAACAATGATTTTCTCTGGCAGGTGGGATATGAATGAGGATTTCTGAAATTTAAAAAAGTGCAGTCTGTTTTGCAGTAATGAGAATATACTCTGTCCTGGCCGGTTTGGCTCAGCGGTTAGAGCGCCAGCCTGCAGTCCACAGAGACCCGGGTTCGGTTCCCGCTAAGGGCATGTACCTTGGCTGCAGTTTGTCCCCGGCCCTGGTTGGGTCGTGTGGGTGGCAGCCACTTGATGTGTCCCTTTCACATCGATGTTTCTCTCTCTTCCTCTCTCTCCTTCCCGCTCTGAGTAAAAAATGGAAAAATGTCCTCGGGTGAGGATGAGAATATACTCAATGCTAGTGAGCTGTACATTTACAAATGATTAAGAAGATGATAAATTTTAAAAAACTAAAAAATAGGATACAGTTAGAGAAAAAAATCTAATCGCATGTAGAATTCTCCTTCAGTATCTACAACCAGAACCTCCACCTGAATCAATTGCCCTTAGGGAGTGTTATCTTGAACCCATCAGTGAGGCTCAGAGGGGCTGCCCAGGAGCTGGGGAGACAGGACCCATCAGGAGGAAAGACAGAAACTCAGAGTAGGGGGATGCGAGGAGGGAAACAATAGAACTCTAGTGCTTGATGCAAGTCCCTTGACAGAGAGGGAGAAATTAGGTAGAGAATGAAATGAGCGCTTGTTGTTTCAGTTAAACAAATATTCAGTTGAACTAAAATGTACGAATGACTCTTTGCAGACAGTTGTGGCCTATAACTGGAAAACTGGAAATGTGGTGAAAAGGTTCAAAGGACATGAACGTGAGATCACCAAGGTAAGATTGTCAGATGATTATTATCATGGAGGGAATTTGAAGTTGAGTAAAGGAATACCTAATAGCTCTAGATGGTAAGAGTGACTGACTTTTCAGTCTTAGAGGAACACGCAAGGGCCTTGTATCTGGTGTTGTGAAGTCCTACTCCAGGAAAAGCAGAGCAGACCATTCACTCAGCTATTAGTACAGGTGTATTCGACATCATTTTTCTTTTCTTTTTAAAAAAGTTATTTATTTATTATCGATTGGTTGCCTCCCACACAACGCCAACCAGGGCCAGGGATCAAACCTGCAACTGAGGTATGTGCCCTTGACCAGAATTGAACCCGCGACTCTGTTTTTTTTATCCTCACCTGAGGACATTTTTCGACATTTTGTTCAGATAGAGTGGGAGGGAGAGAGAGAGAGAGAAACATCGACGTGAAAGGGACGCATCGAGTGGTTGCCCTCCACACGACCCAACCAGGGCCGGGGACAAACTGCAACCGAGGTAGGTGCCCTTAGCGGGAACCGAACCCAGGTCTCCCCAGACCGCAGGCCAATGCTCTAACCGCCGAGCCAGACCAGCCAGGGCGAACCCACGACTCTTTGGTCCATGAACCGACTCTCCAACCACTGAGCCAAACTGGCCAGGGCTCTTTTCTTTTTTTATTAATTAATTTTTCTTTATTGATTTTAGAGAGAGAGGGAGAGAGATAGAGACATCGATGAGAGAGAACATCTATCAGCCGCCTCCTGCATGTCCCCCGTTGTGGATTAGGCCCACGACCTGGGCATGTGCCCTGACTGGGAATTGAACCGGCGACCACTTGGTGCATGGGTCGATGCTCAACCACTGAGCCACACCAGCTGGGCAACATACTTTTTCTTTTGTTATTAAGCCCTTAATAGCTCAGGTGGTAAATAGAGAGTAGCTCTTCCTGACCGATCCTAACTCAACAGGGACATGCATTGCAGGCTTACTGTGTGTTTGCTGTAGTTAGAAAAATGACAAAATCTCTAGGCTTAGGAATCTTGTAGTCTAGTTGGGGAAAATTTTAAAAAGCTAATAATAGCTAAATAAAAATTTGTTAAATAGCTTAACAGAGTAGAGTGAGTTTCCAGCAAAAATGATAGAGAATACCAATTTATATAATTCCTCTGTCTGAAGTCCACCTAAATGAATCCAAAATTAGGGTGCTAACTATCATAATGAAACTCAGCGTCAGCCACAATCCCATAGCACAGTATAGGATATTTTCCTGCCTAGTACAGTGCATTTTGAACCAGACTGAGAGAGAAAACATGGGGCTCTGACACACTTATCCCCAGGTCTTTTTCCCCACTCTAAAGTCCAATCAGACCAGCACACCAGAGCTTTTTTCTTTGAGCAGATAGCCTGTATTCACACATCAAACCAATTCTTCAGCGCCTCTCGGGACAGGATGGTCCTGATGTGGGACTTGCATGGTTCCTCACAGCCAAGGCAGCAGTTCTCGGGCCATGCCATGGTGGTCACCGGAGTGGCTGTGAGTCCAGGTAAACAAAGCAGAGCTCTTCCCAGCACCTTCGTACTTCCCCCAAAGCCCTGTTCCCACTCTGTCTCATGGGCCATCTTCTTGCCATTGTTTCCAAAGACTCATCACAGCTCTGCACTGGCTCTCGGGACAACACCGTCCTTCTGTGGGATGTGGGGACTGGACAGTGTATGGAGAGAGCGTCAGTCTCCAGGAACCTGGTATGAACTCAAACTTACTCCGGAGCAGGGTAGCAGAAGGGAGGATAGAGAGAGGGAGCGGGCCTGGGCAAGAGATCGGGAGACCCATGACCAGGCATTAAGAGGCTTGGGTTCTGCCCTGGCCGGTTTGGCTCAGCGGTTAGAGTGTGGGCCTGCGGTCCAGAGAGACCCGGGTTCGGTTCCCGCTAAGGGCACATACCACGGTTGCAGTTTGTCCCCGGCCCTGGTTGGGTCGTGTGGGTGGCAACCACTCGATGTAGCCCTTTCACATTGATATTTCTCTCTCTCTCTCTCCCTCTCACTCTATCTGAACCAAAAAACCAAAAAATGTCCTCAGGTGAGGATAAGAAAAAAAAAGAAGAGGCTTGGGTCCTCATTACTGCTCACTCCTAACTCTGTCAAACTGCAGCCCTCAGGGTTATCGGATTAGACGATCTCAAAGTGTTCTGCCCCAGAGAATAATTCCATTAGTTTATATTGGAATCTTAAATGGTGTCCTCACTTGTTCCTTTAAAACACAGTTATTTGATTTCTTCTGTGGGGCACACACTGTGCTTAGAGCAGGGTTAGTGACTAAGGACACAGTCTCTGTCCTCCAGGAGCCCACAGCTTGATGTTCTGTGTTCTGTATATATAACATTATGCAAAGAAATAAGTATTACATTTTGCTTTCTGTATAATTTGCTCTGTTTATGAAGACCAGGGTTTTCTGGTAGAAGACTAGTTTAAATTCCACAGCCTTTGGGGTCAGTCATACCTGGTTCAAATCATCAATCCATCACTTTTTAGCTGTGTGATGCCAAGAAACTTACTTAGAGTCTCAGTGTCTTCATTTATAAAATGGGGAGAATTATATCACCTGACATCATAGATGTTCCTTTAGTGGTCATCAAATGTCAGTCCTAGTTATCTTTTCCAATTTTGAAGACAACTGTCAGTGGCAAGATGTGCTTGCCCTATGTGCCCTATGCCTTCCTTCTTTGTGGAGGTTCCTGGAAAAATCCTGTTACCTTAGGTTTTTTTTTTTTTTTTTTTTTTTGGTACATGCCCCTAGTGGGAACTGAACCCAAGGCTCTCTGGTCCGCAGGCTGCCGCTCCAACCACTGAGCCAAATCGACCAGAGCCCCTAGGGTTGTTTTGAAAGGTCTTTCATGCCTTCCCACCAGGGGGCTGCAGGGATAAAGAGAAAGAAGAACACTCCCTGAACCCGCTGTGGCCTAGACTAGGGTTTCAGCCCTGCTTCAGTGGGCTGCCCCCCTTGGCTGCCACAGACCAGCAGCTCTTTACCATGTTTGGGGTGCAGGCATTCTAAGAGTGCCGGCATGCTTCGGGGCACTCACAGCTGGCCCAGCTGCTGTCATTGGCCCTGCTCACCTAGGAGTGCCAGGAGAATGTGATGGTGGGTAGCTGCAAAACATAAAATCACTTCCTCCAAGTCACATTTGGTTCAGCATCCTTGAGAAGAGGTACAGAGATGCTATTTAGCACAGGTTACCGGAATTTTAGCAGAGAGATGACTTGGTATGGAGACATTTTTAAAATTATGCTTCTTCCAGGTCACTCACTTGTGTTGGGTCCCCAGAGAACCATATGTACTACAGACTTCTGAAGATAAGACCATCAGGTGGGCTTACTGAGCAGCTGTGAAGGTATTTCTGGTGAAGGTTTGTGGTTCCCGTGCTTCCATGACTCTGTTCCCACTCTGCTGGTCTACGTTGCTGTGCCCTTCCCAGGGCCTTCTGCCCCTCTGCCTGGTGCTGGGGCCTCGGAGTAGAGGGTGACTGCCAGTCAGGCCAGGGCGAAACCCCTATTCTGATTGGTTTCAGAGCAGCTGATTGTGCCTGCCCTCTAGCTGTGTGAGCTGTTCAGTGTTCAGATTAACCTCAGGATCAGTCACTTGCTCCTCCCACCCCTTCAAACTGCTCTACCTGTTCCCCCTGCTCTGTTCCTAACATTTTCAGTAACCCAGCCCTCAGGCGAAGCCCTCCCTGGGGGCAGGGTCAGAGTCACCATCAGAGGAGTCAAATGCAGTAAGTTGTTTTTAAACTAGAGGGCATGACTAGAAATTTCGGATTTCAGAAGAGATTCTACTTTGAAAATGATAGGAATGAGACAAAAGGTAAATATAATACTCCCCAGTGAACCCCGTGGCACAGGTTGACCAAGCCTGTAAATCTTTTGTATCTAAATCTGGAAAGATGATTGCTCATTCGTACTATCATAAGTATCTTTTTATTTTTAAATCATAAATCACAGGCACAGAAATATCCTCTTGTCTGTGGAAAGCAGTATCCCAAAAGACTAAATTAATTTGTGCAATTAAGATGCTTGGTCTAAATTTCTATTAACTAGATCTCAAAACAGAAAAAAACTCAGATATCATTTTGTTATTTCCTGTCAGCTTTGAGTCTCCGAGATTCATGCTACTGTTTTTAGGTATATCATGACTCCATTCTGTCTGGCCAAAGCAGCAAAGAGCCAAGACTTTTATGTTTGCAGGTGATTACAGATGTATTTCAGACGTGTTTACTACGAACTCATTCTTTGCTGTAATTTCTTTCAGATTATGGGATAGTCGGGGGCTGCAGGTGGCTCATATATTTCCTACAAAGCAACACATTCAGACCTACTGCGCGGTCAGTGAGGATGGACACAGGTGTATCTCCTGCAGCAGTGGCTTTGGAGGTGAAGGCTGTGAAGCCACGGTGAGAGAGCCTGTGGGGTCCAGGTGTCTGGTTGCTGATGAGCAAATGACTGCTCCGGCCTCATGCCTGTACTGAGCTACACAGGCAGGTCTGCTAGTGGCTCAGGCCTATTCCAAGGGCAGACTGTAAGTGATCCTTTGCATTCCAGATACTTCTTTCAAGAGACATTCATTAGCCTAGCAGGGGTGGGGAACCTTTTTTCTGCCAAGGGCCATTTGGATATTTCTAACATCATTAGAAGGCCATACAAAATTATCAACTTAAAAATAAGCATGCTGTATTTGGTCAGGCTAATTTGGTGAGGGGTGTGATGTTAACTGGTATTGATTTCCAGGCCGTATGCTGTCGAAGGCTGGATTTTCCCCACCCCTGGCTAGAGCTTTTTGAATTGGTCTAGGAAAGAGGAATGGGAGCAGAGTCAAAATAGGGAGGTGATATCCTAGAACCCGCCTGCTGATGTCCATCCTCCCAGCAGAGCTGAGAAAGAGGAAGAACTATTTGAAGAACCAAAAGTTTCTCATCATACATGTGGTCACAGGGAAGGAAGTTCAAGCTCGTTGGGAAGTTTGGAGCTCCAGTGTCGGTCAAGGCCCACCCTATCCCTTAACCATATAGCTTTCCTTGCAGTTAATTTCAGGATCGGCTCCTTGGAGTCCTAATTGTAGAATATCAGTTAAAGGGATTCTCTAGTATCCACATATAATAATTACAGCTCCCTTTTTTTTTTTCCTTTTTGTTTTTATCCTCATTTTTTCATTGTTTGTTCAGATAGAATGGGAGGGAGAGAGAGGAAGAGAGAGAGAGAGAGAGAGAAACATCTATGTGAAAGGGACACATCGAGTGGTTGCCACCCGCAAGACCCAACCAGGGCCAGGGCCAAACTGCAACCAAGGTACATGCCCTTAGTGGGAACTGAACCCGGGTCTCTCTGGACCACAGGCCGATGCTCTAACCGCTGAGCCAAACCGGGCAGGGCTCCCACTTTTTTCAAACATTTCTTATATAGTGGGCACCAGGCTGAGCACATGCATTATCTCATTTAATCCTTAAAACAACCACATGAGTCAAGTACTATTATAATTCCCATTTTACAAATGAGGAAATAGAGTCACAGCAAGTTGAAATTTCTTGTACCAGACCACACCTCTAGTAAGTGTTGGGCCAAGGTTTTAAGTCCCAAGCTGCTGATGTGGCATCGCTTCTCCAAGCTAAGCCTTTCCAGCGCCTACAACTGTTCCTTAGAGGACATGGTGTCCAGTGATTTCATTATTTTTGGACACAATTCAGTGTGCTCTTCTACCCGAACATTACTCTCCAGGTGTGGTCTGATCTGTATCAGCAAGAGTGGGACTGGCGGGAGTGGCGCCTCCCTTGTAGACTGGGGTCTTCATATAGCTAGGGTTAGTGATGCACATTAAATCAGGTCTGTGCCTCTATGTACGTGTGAGAAGCTGCTCCTAACCCTGAGGTCCCCACAGGACCACAGATGCCAAGAGGCTGATATAAGGTAGCTGTTGAGTTGTCATAAAAGTTGTCACACTGTCTCAGCTGTAGGACTTGGAGCTTCACTTCCCTAACCAGGATGTTAATGAGGAAGACGACAACCCTTATGGCATATCATTGACCAGGGTTGTTTGAGACATAGTTGATGTTTAAAATAATCACTGGATAGATGGATGGTTGGCTGTGTGGATGAGATGGATGAAGATGAGGGGGAGCTACATAAGTAGGTAAGTGGAGGGAACAGGTGGGTCATGAGATGGAGGGGCGATAAATATCAATGAATGGAACTGGAGAAATAATATGTATGAGCTAGCCTATGTCATTACTTTGCAGTTGTGGGACCTAAGACAGACGCGGAACAGAATATGTGAGTATAAGGGGCATTTCCAGACTGTTGCATCCTGTGTCTTTCTACCAAGAACATTGGCCTTGATGCCTGTAATTGCTACCTCATCACATGACTGTAAGGTGAAGATTTGGAACCAAGATACTGGAGGTAAGGAGCCTGCTTTTAGTGTTTCTTAAAGATACGTGAAGTCTTAAAGGCTCCCTTAAAACTTCCTTTCCTTGCTCAGCACAACCACATATGTCCTTCCAATGTTTAGTCCCCTAGTGGTTAAGACATGACACCAGATACCAGAATCTCTTCAGCCTCTGACTAGAGGCCATCCCCACATAGCTCCTTGTACTATATTGTACATTCATTCCTGAGAGCTCACATAGATTTGGCTCTTATATTCTTTCTGCTTGAAGTTCTGCATCAGATTTTAACTTGTGATGTTCAAAATATCAAAAAGAGAACAAAAATTGCCATTTTAAAATTTATTTTTCAAGGACTGAAATGAGAGCCTCAGCTCTCGGTAGGGGTGAGGTAGAGCAAGGATAGTTTCAGAAAGACTCTTCCTTGTTTCGACTCTGCAGCGAAGGTTTTGAAATCGACATGACACTTCAAAGTCCCAGTGTCAGGGAACACAGCTCCTTGGAGTTCTCGATGCAGGGCTGCGCCCTGATGGCTGATCGTTAAATATTCAGAAATATTTAATACGGTCACAGTGGAAGTATTTACACCACAAGATTTCGCAAACGCAATGAAGAAAGGTGATTTACCAGCACCCTTACTGTGTGCAAGTGTCAGCAGGGGAGTTCACTTGCTCAGAGTGTTCTGTTCTGGACATAGGGTTCTGCCAGACACAGAAATAGCATTAATTTAGAGAACCTCAAACCAGACCCCTCCTGCAGTGATCTTGATAGTTGAAGTCTTGGGGCTGACCCAAGTTCTGACTTTCCCGCTGGTGCATGTTCCCCTAACGCATGCGATGCCTCTCTTGTCTGGGTCAGAGACATATAGCACATGCTTCAGTTACATGCATTTCTTACAAAGACACTGCATTTCATGATGTCTTGGCCTAAGTGGCTGGTTTCCCACTTCCTCCCCCAGCCTGCCTGTTCACCTTGTCTCTGGATGGATCAGGACCTTTGACTTCCCTGGCTGTTGGCGACACCATCTCCTTACTGTGTGCAAGTTTCAGCAGAGGAATTCACTTGCTCAGAGTGGACCGCAGCCGAGGGCTGGAACTGCGGGAAGTGGCAGCATTCTGAGGCCAAGAGACATTTGCTGGACAATATCAAACCATGACCCTTCCTTTCTCAGTGTGGCTTTGCTTTTCCATGTTATCTTCAGGGGAGGGAGATGTGGGGCTGGTGTGCTTTGCTTAGGTTTACTTAGAAGGTATATCAGTGTTAGAAGTCAATTTGAGGCCAGTGGTTCCAAATCAGGTGCAGTTTAAAAACATGGACTAAACATAAGGTTCTCAATCTAAGTTAAATCCAAACGCAAGTTTTAGTGAGTTACTGGGACTGCTTTTCCCCCCCAAAAAAAAATTAATGGCTCAAAGTTGATGACCTGTAGGTCTCTGTGAGAGTCAGGACACAGGTTCTGGGTCCATTGAACTCGCCTTTTCCATGTCTCCACAAAAGAAAGAAAAGCAAGGGGGAGACAAACTCTGCTTTGCGTGCCTCGAAATTATCCACATGAGAAAGAACAATCCAGCCCCACAGAGGAAATAGATTATAGACATGAGATTTAGCTCCAGTCACTGCTCCTCAGCAATGTGAAGAATCAAAGTTAGGGCAAGGAAGTAAAAGCCTTGTCCTCTACTCAAAATAGTAGCAGAGAGGGTGGCAAATCCCTGCCAGTTCTTGGTACCTTCCTAGACCAGTGCAGAGGTTGCATGAGCGTAAGACCTGAGATGGCTTGAAGAGGCTGAGCAGCCAAGGACCTTGTCAGAATGATAGGAGTTACCAAACTGCCTCTGTACATAAGAAAATTGAGAGGTTGCAAAATTAAGATTTAAAAATGTCACTTGTACATTTTAATATTTTTGTTTAGTTTTATGTAAATTCTTTCTAGGGGATGGCCAGAGAGGCACAGGGAATAGCTGCAACGACAAGAGAACATCTAGGAAAAAGCAGACGCACGAACTCAACTGTGTGCTGCCATTGAGGCCCCCCCCATGTGGAGAGGCAGGGTGCTCGGGTCTGCCTGTGTGCCCCCCAGGAGATCAGTCCCCATCTGGTGCTCACAAGCCCATTTTTTTCCAGGGAAAATAGAGTTCCTCCTGCCTTCAGGCAGGCCCATGCTTGAGGCACCTGCTGCCCAGGAATTCCCTTTTTGTTGAGTCCCAGAAAAAGAAAGATTTTACATTTGTCTTTGGCCTCTGCCTGCCTCTGATGCCCTTGGCTGACAGACATCTTCCTGTCTCCCTCCTGTTCCTCTCTGAATCCAGCTCCCTCAAGCTATCTCCACTGACTGGGGAGGAGAATCTTTTTTTTCTTTATTGCTTTTTAGAGAGAGGAAAAGAGAGGGAGAAAGAGATGGAAACATTGATGAGAACATCAATTGGCTGCCTCCTGCATGCCCCCCACTGGGGACTGGGTCCACAACCTGGGCATGTGCCCTGAACCGGGAATCGAACTGGCGACCTCTTTGTGCATGGGTCGATGCTCAACCGCTGAGCCACACTGGCCATGCTGGGCAGGAGAATCTTAAGGTACTGCAAAGCGTCAAACCTAAATTTGGATCTCCATTTCTCGATTTAGCTGGATGATCTTGGGCAAGTTATGAAATCTCAGTTTCCTCACTTATTATATGGGGCCATAATCATACATTTCTCACAGGGCTGTTCTGAGGACTGAAGAGAACTATATTGAATGCCAAGCAACGTATTAGGAGCTTATAAATGGTAGCTATTGGTATTTATTACCCTCTGTCCAGACTAAATGCCCACACATTTACCATTCATCTGTTCTCCTTAGATCTTTTTTCTAAGCCATTAGTCATCGTTCAGCTTCCCCTTTGATTCCTGGAGTGAGCACACGCAGATGGCTGAATACATTTGCTCTCACTTCGATTCTTGTTATTATTCCCATTTCACAGGTGAGGAAGCTGAGGCAGGCACACCCAGTCCTTTGTCCAAGATTACACATAGGTGTAAAACAAATTTGAACGTGGGTCGGCCTGACTCAAAGTGGGGTTTCTTTCCTCCCTTTCCCTTTGCCTTTGCATGATGTCACAAAGTTCACGTTAGAACTGTATAGCCATGACATTGTGTATTTTCTAGACCAGTTACTAACTTTTTTAGCTCCAAAGAGATCCTCCTTGCTAGATGCCCAGAAGCAGTAGGCAGGTGTCTCAGGAAAAGTCCTAGAGTACCTATTAGTGGTCATCTGACCCTTTCTTCTAGAAGAAAGACAGGCAATAAGGCAGAAAACCCAAGGGGGTGCATTGGGAGGGGGTCCCCGGAAGGGGAACAGGCTGCTGGGATAGGGAACATACCTGTGAGAAAATAGTAGGCCTCTTATGAATTAGCAGGGTTCTATCACCAATAAAATTGTTTCCCTAAACTCTACACACGTGCTTGATGTATAAATTCCTTATCTGCATTTTAAGTAGAAAGTAGATTAATAAATGTAACTCTTCAAGTAAAAATATTCAGTGTTATATGCCCTAAACAGGGACTCTCAGCACCTAAGATACAGGCCGCTGAAGTGCATTCATTCACTGGACACTTCATTTCAGAGGCTGCCCCTCTCAAATCAGAGGAAGGAATTTTCCAAACACAGTTGACTTTTCTCCCGGAAAGTGTACAAGCTCTTGGAATCTGGCCACTTATGTATTTAAAATTTAAATAAATTTGAATCTTTGCTTACGTATATATTATTTAAATATATTTATCTAAGGAAAGGAGTGATTATTAATGGCTTTCATTTTGACACAGGAAATACAAGTATAAAACTCAGGTCACTTGGTGTTTTTAACCTAACCCTGAGAAAAAGGAAGTTAGCTATTTCTTTTTTTTTTTTTTTTTTTTTTTTTTTTTTTTTAATCCTCACCCGAGGACATTTTTACATTTTTTTTTTGTTCAGATAGAGTGGGAGGGGGAGAGAGAGAGAGAAACATCGACGTGAAAGGGACACATCGAGTGGTTGCCACCCGCACAACCCAACCAGGGCCGGGGACAAACTGCAACCAAGTTACATGCCCTTAGCGGGAACTGAACCCGGGTCTCTCCGGACCGCAGGCTAACGCTCTAACCGCTGAGCCAAACCGGCCAGGGCTGAAGTTAGCTATTTCTGAATAGCCTTCGAAAACATAATTATTAAAAACAGCTTCATCACAAAAATGTACAGACTGCTAGATGTTTCCTGAACTCGGCACTTCTGGGCACAGGCTGCCCAGTTAAGACACATTCCTAGCTAGGCATGGCCGAGAGTAAGTTCTTGTCGGGGTGGTGAGTGGAAGTTATGTATGTAACGTCTACCTTATTCATTCGCTTGAAAGAAATATTTGTCCAGGATTAGCCCGCTGGGTCCCCTCCCACTAACTAGAATGCAGACTGCCAGTAACAGCTTCAACTATTCAGATGGAGACAAGATGATGAACCAGCAAAAAAGGAACCTGGGCCCCCGAAAAACCTCAAGGAGTTGAGCTGCTCAACAGCCTGACCAGCTGGACTGTGACTTGAAAGATAAATGAACTTGATTATTTTTAAGCCATTATGTATATATAAAACTTTCATTTCAAGTATGCAATCATAAACCATTTCAGACATCTTAAGTTTATAGCTTACTGAATTTTTATAAATGGAACACACTCTAGTAACCAGTACCTAGAGGAGGAAGCATAATATATCCAGGAACGTAGATGGCCTCCCTCATACTCCCCTCCAGGCTTATCTGATAAGTTTGTAACAACAACCTGGTTTTCTGCTGTCCTACTTTATACAAATGGAATCATACTGTATTGTAGTAGAGGGAAAATGTGGCCACATATTTTCCCCATTCCTGTATGTCTGACCCTTTGCGATGTGACTTTTTCTCCTCAGTAGGTAGGATTTTCCCACCCCTGGAATCTGCACTGGTCTTTTCTGACTTGTTTTGACTGATAGAATACAGAGACCGAAGGCTGTGCAACTTGTGAGGCTGGGCTGCAGAGGCCTTGCGGCTTCACTTTCCCTCTCCTAGAATGCTGCTCTGAGATCTCCACATCAGGAAGGTGACCCAGGACACCTGGAGAAGAACCAGGCGCCACCAGGTATGTGAATGAGGTCACCTTGGACCTTCCAACCCTAGCAAATGTGCAGCCACATTCAGCCACAGATGAAATCAGAAGAGAAACCACCCGTTTTTCACACAATCATGAGAAATAATAAATCATTGTTTTGAGACACTAAGTTTTGGGGCAGTTTGTTATGCAGCAATAGATTTAAGTGAAACAAGTATATGCTTTTATTTTGGTTGGGCTGCTTTTGCCCTCCATGTTTGTGAGACTGATTCAAATGTTGCATGTAGTGGAATACTATTCCTTACCATCGCTGTATGGTATTCTAATGTGGGACAATATTACAATTTATCCATTTCACTGCTGATGGGCTAGCTTCTAGTTTGAGGCTCTTACAAACAGTGCTGCAATGAACATTCTAATAATATGTCATTTGGTAAACATGTCCATGTGGAAGGTTGGGGGTTTGGTGGATGAACAAAATGTAACCTTGAGACATGCATTCTCGCATCCTGGCCAGCCAAGGACCAAAGTATGCACGAGAATAGATAAGGTATGCATGATAGGGTTGAAATACTGCCTGAAAGTGTCGATCAAAGTATGCATCAGAATAGATAAGGAATACATGATGGGTTTGGAACTTCACTCTGAAAGTGCCAATGGGTTTGTGGCCCAAGTGTGAATGTGTTTGTTATGTATCTCTGCTGAAAACAGTGAGGGGCAGCTGGAACAGGAAGAAGGCTGGGCTTGCTGAAAGGTCAGCAGAGACACAGTCTCAAGGACTTAATTACCTAAACACCATGTAACCTAGGGAACCACTTTGCAAATAAATTGGGCTGGGTCCAGAGGTCAGGAGCATTTGCTTCCTTGTGATGCTCCCTCTCACTCCAAGCCCTGTCTGCTTGTAATTCATTGTTGTGAGGTCCCTAGCAGGCTGAGAGTTGGCATCCATGTATTTGTGTTCATTATGTAATTAGCGAAGGCCTTTCGGGGCTATCATGTAACATGCACTATCAGCTTTAGTAGATACTACCTTTTCCCAAAAAGTTGTCCCAGTTTACATTCCATCCTCTGTGCAGGAGACTTAGCAGAGTTTCAGTTGTTCCTTGCCAACATTCTGTGCCCTTAAACTTTGCAACCCTCAGCTTTAAAGATGAGTGCAAAGAAGTTGAAGAGTACACTAGAGAAGTGTTAGTCATGAGCCAATGTTAGAAAGAAGCTGGACCAACTGGTTTTGATATCTACCTTTCTTCCTGGCACTTCTAGTTAAAAGGGCAGAAGTTAAAAAATACAAACTTATATGTACAC